GAAGGGTAGCCTCAATTTACAGTTAGTTACCGATAGTTTCGACAAGACAGCAGTCCGAAGTTTGGACCCCTTTATGTTAATTTTACTTTTTGCTTATTTCGCTACATCTCGAAAACTTCTCAAGCGAATCAAAATATTTTGCTCACAATTAATAAATTCATTTATCCAAATATAATTCCAAGCAAAAAATAATTTACAGTAAATATTTACTATTTTTTATTAAATATTAGTCGAAAAAATATTGAAAGGATATATTGAAATTTTTTAAATCGTTTTAAACAATATAATTTTACTTGTCAAAATACAAAATTTGAGTGAAATCGGTCGAATAGTTCCTGAAAAATCGATTTCAAAAGTCGTATTATAAAAATTTGATTTCTCAGTCAGGAACTATTCGACCGATTTTATTCAAATTTTGTCAAGTGAAATTATATTCCTTAAAATTAGGTAAAAAATTGTATACCTTACAATTGAATATTTTTTGACTAATATTAAATATTTATTAAAAATTATTTTAGGTATAGAATTATCTTTAGATAAATGAATTTTATAATTGTGTGCAAAAAGTTTTAAATTTCTCGAGATATGGCGTAATACGCAAAAAGTAAAATTAACATTAAGGGGTCAAAACTTTGGAGTGCTCTCCTGACCATATTGCGGTCTATATTTTGGGGGGTTAGAAATCCGAATCCGTAGAAAAAAAATGCATGCTTATTCAGAGAAAGTGCGTGTTTGAGTCTGATTTCATATCTTCTGCACTAATTAATTTGCATACTTGAGGATACCATTAAGATTGAGTCCTAGAACATGAAAATCTGATCAAAAGTCATTCAGGGTGGTCCGTTTATTTCATTACACACTGCACATACTTGTTTGATGACTAAGGTCACTGTACAGACCACCCTATCTGACTGCAATTAAGTGACCATCTTTTGTATTCCAGGTTATCTAGAGAACATCATGGGAGTAAAAGTAATAGCAAATTTTCTTTCCTTAAAAAGATGGATGAGTTTCAAATGTGGGTGAAATGTATGACAATTGCAGAAAAACAATGTCTTCACAGAAACAACAAAAGTGAAAATGAACTATTTCACAGGATCTGTAACAAAGATAGTTTATTTGCTTCAATTTTGAATCTAAAAACTTTTTTTTCTAAAAAAAAAAATAACGTGATTTTTTTTTTAATTTAAAGAGAAAAAATTAATCTTTTTGGCCATTATACAAAAACTTTTTGTTGTTGACGTATGCCTGTTTAGGCAGAGGGGGTGCGATTGTTCTTGTTTTCTAGTGGCGCCATCTATGGTCAAGAATTTGACTTCTGACGCACCATACGTCACATCCGTTTATAGGGCGGACCCATTCATACATCCATCCACAGATCTTAATTTAGACCTGAATCAGAGAACGATCGATCTCCAATCCAGTACCCCCAGTGGTATTGATTTGTTATGGAAACATGGAGGACTTTTGCAACTCGACAGATTCAACCTGCATCAGTCACTTTACTACACGGGGAAGTCTTCGGCCGGCGGGGTTCGAACCCACGAACTCTCGGACATGGGCCCAGCGCCCTACCAACCAGGCTATCCCTGCCCTTGCTAGTATTGTCTTCAGATCATTATTGAGAATGATTTTCAAACGATCTCTGTAAGTAAAACCGAACTTAACTTAATGACAGAGACTTTTGTTTTTCTTTATAAACTCGAAATTCTCTAAAATTTTAATGTCTCAAAGCTGGTTTTTATTTATCATATCAAAAGAAAGCCACATTTACTTTTCAGTTCGGAGCGTTTATAGCTTTCTTTAGTGTTTTTTTTCTCATTAAATGAAAAAGGCCGATATTCTTATTTATCTCCGTCCTTATTGCGTCTTCAAAAATGTCTTTTCCGCGCTAGAAAGAAAAAAAATTTTTTATGACGTTTTGTAAAATTTCAGAAATAATTGAGAAAATAGTTTGAAAACATGTATTTTTTTCCTTAATTTCCTAGAACTCAGAAGCGAACGCAAATTTCGTCCGGTTCTGTTCGAATAATGACGTAAAAGACTAAATATTCAACAATTAATACTACTCCTGTTACATGAATTTGTACATTAAATGATCATAAAACGTGCCATATTCAATTTAAATTGAATAAGGAAATTTCAAAAAGATAAAATGATACGAAATTATTTAAAATTTTGTCATAAGCATCTGCTGGTCTTCGAAAGCAGAAATAAAGGCTCTCTCTGTAACCATTCTCTCAACTTTCGAGTGTTTCAATGAGATGGCTATCTGTTGAAAGATTAGGCAGCGCCACTGGTGCAGAGCTGAGTTTAAATCACTCAAAACTGCTTCGAGGTAACAGAAAAACTAATTGCAACTCTGTTCCATTCAAAGAACCTACAATGGTTCTGACTCGGGATAATAAATATTTGTAATTTATACATACCCCGGGTTCGAATCCCAGTCGATACGAATTCCGCATCCGGCTTGCACCGACCACAGTGCTTCTGGGAGATTGCTTACTAGAATGTCGAAACTAGAAGACCAGGCTATCGAAAATAAAGTCACGAAACAAACCGATCGGTCTCTATGGTAGTCAAGATGTCGAATCCCGCTTAAAGGCATCTGTGTAATTTATCTCTCTGTTCTATCTATCTTTCTTCTGTTGTCTGGAAAACAATGATCCACCTACATGGAGCTCACGAATGCATTTTTTTGGGGGGGAAAAAAGTAGAATGACGAAATATTTCGTTAATTATGATGAAATTCGTTTCTTCGAAGAAGTTTCGTCACTTTGACGAAAATTTCGCTCGAAGCATATACCAGGAAATAGTTTCGTCAAAAACGAAGAAAGTTTCGTAAAATGTGAGCATCTATTTTCTTCTGTGCACCAAATTGTTATATATTACTATATGTTTTATTTAATTTCATTTATAAAAAGTAATTCATTTAGAATTTATTTATAGTGAATGATATGCTAAATTTGATTTATATAGACTGGATTCATGTGAATTCAGTTTGTAAAAGTTTGATTCATATAAATTTAATAATATAGCGTTAAATTTATTATCATAGTTGTAAGAGCTTCTGAAATTTCTCTGAGTTGCTTATAAAACTTACTTTTTTTTGTTTCTTTTCAGAGCATAACAATACCTGTTAGGATTATTGTCACCGACGCCAATGATAATGCGCCAATGTTTGTTGGTGCGCCATACAGTGTCAATATCAGTGAAGTAAGTTTTGATACTTGGAATTCAAATTTTTAAACAACATTTTATGTGATATAATTAGAGATGAAGTTAAAGAACTGCATTTTCGTTGAAACTTTGTTGTTTACATTTAATTGAAACTATGACGACTATTAAGGAAAACGGTACTTTGAAAGTTGTAACTATCAGGCTTTACTTTTATTTAAAAAAAAGTTAGAAACTCATATGAGCTAACAAGAGAAAAAGCTTATGATAATTATGAGTTAAAGCTTATCATAAATCCAAGTGATATTCTTCGTTTTTTTTTCTTCATCAATCTAATCCTCAGTTCAAAATTTGTGTTTTTAATCAGAGGCAATTCATTTGTTTAAATTTTTGTTCAAAATTCTTATTTTTTAAAATAAAATCATAAAAAATATATTTATTTATAGGTTACTGTAGTGGGGTCAACAGTCATCCAGGGAATCAAAGCTGTTGACAAAGATCAGTATGGACCGTTCAGCACTGTTGAATATTTCGTCGATGAAGGGCCTTATTCGGTATTTACTTTTATTTATTCTTTTGTCATTACAAATTATCTCTAAGAATGTGAATAACAGCTGGAATGAAATTAATTATAATGTACGTAGTGGGTAATCATGTGAATGCGATTTCTCTTATTTTATCTGTTTTCAAGATTTAAAAATTTGCAGTACGATTTTTAGACATGTTTGGAACTAAGCACTATACCATAAATTATATCTTATGAACTATTATAGCATTCATGTGCAATATTAGAAAATTGATAAATTCAATAAATTTAATATTTTTTACGGAAATAACGAATTGTATAATTAAACATATGCATGCTCATAACTTAGATGATAAAACTTTCTTTTTGCCGTGACATTTTTATGGCGTTACTCATGACATCATTCTTACAAACACTTGTTTTTTTTTCTTGTAAACATTCAGCACAACTAATGGCAACTAAGCACCGATTTTTTTATTTTATTTTAAAGTTTGGTCACATATTTAAAGGCAGCAAATTTTCATTTCTGTTGATGAATATCGCCGTTGAAAGAAAAAACAAACACTCGCCAGCTCATTCCAGAATGTAAACAAAATACTGGCGATACTCTACTTGACGCTTGTCGAATTCTTGCTATTCAAAGCTCGCCAACATTGGTGTTTACGAAAGTGAAAATAATGCTCCTATAGTGTGATAAAGTGAAATTTTAGTGTAAGACTATTCCATTATAATGGTTTAAGTTTAAATTACNCGATAATATAAAAATGTGAAATAAAAAAAGCAGAATAAAAAATATGAATAAAAATGTAACCATTAAATAAAACTCATCACAAAAGAAGAACTTTCCTAGAATCTGAAAAGCTTTTGAAATATAAATGATGACAACATTTGAGAATTAATCATCTAGAAGTCTTTAAGATTAAAAGGAAATATTTTTATTGATAACGATAATATAAAAATGTGAAATAAAAAAAGCAGAATAAAAAATATGAATAAAAATGTAACCATTAAATAAAACTCATCACAAAAGAAGAACTTTCCTAGAATCTGAAAAGCTTTTGAAATATAAATGATGACAACATTCGAGAATTAATCATCTAGAAGTCTTTAAGATTAAAAGGAAATATTTTTATTGATAACGACAATATAAAAATGTGAAATAAAAAAAGCAGAATAAAAAATATGAATAAAAATGTAACCATTAAATAAAACTCATCACAAAAGAAAAACTTTTCTAGAATCTGAAAAGCTTTGAAATATAAATGATGACAACATTCGAGAATTAATCATCTAGAAGTTTTTAAGATTAAAAGGAAATATTTTTATTAACAATAATTATGACCATTACAGTTTTATTTACTATATTAACAATCTAAATATAGTCTAATTTTTCTCATCTCTTATTTAAATCCATGATAATGTGCGCACATTCTTTCACGGCTGACTTTATGTCGGGGTAGAGGAATTTATACCCACTTTCCAAAGTTCTTTGAGGGACTACTTTTTGTCCCTCCATCATCATGCGAGCCCTCTCTCCCCCGAAGGCTAAATTGATTGCAAATTCTGGGATTGGAAGGACGGCAGGCCTCCACAGGGCTCGAGAAAAGGCTTTTGTGAACTCTTTGTTTGTAACGATTTCGGGGGAAACACCATTCAGGATTCCGTGAACAGTAACGGACTGTACTCCGTGGGTGAATATACCAGCAATGTCATCTATATGAATCCATGGGAAATACTGTTTCCCACTACCAATGGTTCCACCGACTCCGAAATAAAATGGCCAAAACATCTGCTGTATTATACCACCTGTTCTGCCCAGTACAACACCTAAAAAAAATAAAAACCATTCCTTATTAAAAAAATAAGTTTAACACTAAACATACTAACACTTTACTACCATAGCCACAGGGTATCTGCTACATTTAAGATTTTCAAATTCATAACTTTCCACGGCTAATTCCAAGAACTTTTCCTGACTTAATGAAATTACTATTTCCTCCGACAAAAACAGAATAATAAATCTAAAAAGTATTATAATAACATTCATTGAAATGATAGGTATAACCAAATCTGTTATACTCTGCATCTTCATATTTATTGATTTTAAAAAACAGAGTTAAAAAAAAAGAGTTGAAGCAATAAAATAGGTGAAAAAGTAATAGCTGAGCAATAATTTTCTCTTCTTCTTTTCTGCAGAATTATATTCTAAAGATACGTTGCTCGTTCATCAGAAAGGAAAGAAATACTCTGGATTTTTCTATTCTCATTTTGGAATTTAAAAAATTTGCCAATCACTGGCTCACTTCAGTTAGAGTTTTAAATTGGTAAAATAAGAAATAATAATAATTCTGAAATCACAGAAGTTTAAAAGATACTTCGCTCTAAAAATGATGTTTTTTCTTTCATTTTTTGAAAGAACACCATAATTTTTAAAGAACATAATAAAAACTTTTTATATTTTAATAAAATATGACTATGAGCGGGGATTTTTTTATTTTTTTTCACAAATTCAGATATTCTGAACACCATCAAATGGGGGGGGGGGATTCCATTTTAAAAATTAAATTCTTCGGCGACCTAAATCCATGACTTTCCATGATTTTTTTTAAAAAATAGTTAAAATCATGACATTTCATGACAAATTTTGTTCAATACCGAAATTCATGACTTTCCAGGTGTGCAGACACCCTGTAGCCAGTCAATTGACCGGACTCCATACTTTTTGATTGAATCCATGAATGTTAGGAAGGAAATAAACTAAAAAAAAACTTTATTATAACTAAACAAAATTGTATATTGCCAATTTTTATATATTACAAACACAAAGAATAATGATTTTTAATTCATTGCTCAACTCATTTTTTACACATACAGGGTGTTAACATTGTAAACTTTCCGCAAACACATTTCTTCTAATTATTATTATTTCTATAATTCTTATAATGTATAAGAATTAAAATTCTTATAATTAATATTATTTCTTCTAAGAACTTGCTCTGTCTCGATGGTTTCAACATTTTTCTAGGTAAAAACTAACAGTTAGTTAGAAATGAAGTAAAGCTATCAAAATAAAATCTAAGCTACTTTTCAAAACATTTGGTTTTTGTCACTTTTTCTGATACAAAAATGACAATCTAAAATTTTAAATACTTTCTTGAAATGTGAATTCACAGTTATTCCGATTGAACTCACTACGCGACAGTCTTTGCAGATATGCGCAACTCATCGAATGTAACACNAAGAACTTGCTCTGTCTTGATGGTTTCAACATTTTTCTGAGTAAAAACAAACAGTTAGTTAGAAATGAAGTAAAGCTATCAAAATAAAATCTAAGCTACTTACCAAAACATTTAGTTTTTGTCACTTTTTCTGACACAAAAATGACAATCTAAAATTTTAAATACTTTCTTGAAATGTGAATTAACAGTTATTCCGATTGAACTCACTACGCAATAGTCTTTGCAGATATGCGCAACTCATCAAATGTAACATGTTGAACGTGCATTACATCGTAATTTCTGATCCGAAAACCTTATGAAGCAATGAATTGTTCTCCCGGTCAAATGACGGGTTAGTGGCAGAAATAGGCATACGACAAGTATTATTCTAAACAAACAAAATACAAAAAATAATAATAATAAAATATTAACTGTATATAATTGCTAGAAAAGTCAGGAAGTCAAATGTGCAAAAACGATAAGATGATAAGCGCATTTTTGATGCAAAAGTTCTTAAACGGTCATTTGACAGGTTATGGTATGTTCAGTGTTAACAATAATTGGAAATTATAGATTCTAGAATTCAGAACTTTCATACTTCTACATTCTTTTTCACTAAAAGCGGGTTCGATTTAAAATATGCATTCTCACCCTTTTTATCCACTTATTACATTAACATTCTTAATTTAATTTTATCTATTGTTCCACTAAGTCCGAAATAAAATGGCCAAAACATTTGCTGTATTATACCACCTGCTCTACCCAGAACAACACCTAAACAATAAAAACCATTCTTTAAAAGAAAAATAAGTTTAACAATAATTGGAAATTATAGATTCTAGAATCCAGGACTTGGGAATTTCTGGGTTCTTTTTTACTAAAATGGGGTTCGATTTAAAATATGAATTCATACCCTCTTTATCCATCAATTAATATTGACATCCATAATTTTATTTTATCCATTGATCGACAAAACAGAAAATTTAAAATCACAAAGAGTAATATTTGAAGTATCAAAGCTTTTAAATATAACTGATCAAACACATGCATCAAGTAAAAACAACAGTGTACTTTGATACTAAATTTTTTTTTTTATTTTCACCTTTTCAGCTACAAATAACAAAGGAAAACAAATTTTTTCACAAAGATTTAAATTTTTGTTACAATTTTGCCTACATAAATCTTCACACGTGCTGTATATTTATTAATTTACTTTCGCACTGGAGACTTATGTGTCCCGAGTAACGTGACTTTACTTATTTTTCACTTTCTTTCTACGCGCATTCGACATGTCATTGATACAGCACGTCTCTCAGAGTTCCAGGTTTTCAGGTGATAATTTCAAATTTTCTGAAAATTCAAGGTTTTCCCTGTTTACAAAGAGGTTAGCCACCTCAATTGACATTGAATCAGGTTAAGGTTCACCTCAAAAGAAGGAAAGGACACAAGTTTTTTTTAAGGATATGATAGGTTATACAAAATAGATTTAAAGGCTAATAATAGGTTGAAATACATTGCCTTAGTGTGATCATCACTAGCCAACAACACTCCAAATACATCTAGAGTTAATTCTGAATTTCTTTGAGAATTTTAGGTTTTCAAGTGATGTGATGCCACAATAGGCATTACATATTTCCTAGCTTTTAAAATTTCTTTATTTTCTCAAACTTCTTTTTTTTAAAATCATTTTCAATCAAATTTTAATTAAATGAAACTGATTATTTAATTTTTATTACACTTTATAAAAAGCGAATTTAACATATTTTATTCTTTTCTTAACAATCAATGTAATGGCTAACTTTTTATTTAAATACTAATGTAAGATTCATTCATTCACTGCCGTGACTAAATAGAAAACAAAAATCTATTTATAACTCTTTATTTCTCAAAAAATTTTTCAGTTACACAGTTATACTAATTCTTACAATCTTTTTGGCGATTTGCTTTCACCTGATTATTTATTAGGATTGCCACAGAAAAAAATGAGCAAAATAGTTGCTTCTAGCAGTCTAAAGCATGAAAATAGTCACCTGAAATTATGAAAATAGTTGCCTAAATAAGAATTTTTCAATAATATGACTAAAATTTTATAATATTGACTTCATTGTAATATACCATGATCCATTTAGTCAAGTTGATGGCCAATATAATAATTTCTAAATAAATGTTAGTGTTCTAGCACTAAATTTTTATATAAAAAAAAATTTTATATTTGCAGAACATTAAATACTTTTAAATGCTAGAATTAAGGCAGAAAAATAGTTTTGCGTTAAAAAAAGACATACTCTTTCTATTAATTTTCCCTTTCACATAATTTTTCCTTTTATCAATAATTGATTTAGCAAATATATATATATATATATATTGAAAAAGTAATTACTAAAATTCTAAATTCGCACATAATAGTATTGTATTAAAAATTGGGTTCTTTAAAATCATGCAGAGTTTCATAGCAATAACTGTTGAAAAGGTGATTGAGAAACAAAATAGATTCACAATGGAATCTGTGCAAATTGAGGGCATTAAAAAGTGATGACTAAAATTTGCAATTTAATATTTTTCTTATTTTTTAGAAGAAAAAAAATTCACTATGTTCAGAAGCTACCGCGGGCCGCAGGTTGGCAACCCAATTTATGCTAAAAAAACATTGCTAGGAGCCCAGAAAAGTCTCCCAATGGTCTCCTTTTCCTGAAAATAGTTGCTTTTATAGCCTTTTAAGGCAAAAAAATTGCCTCAGGTCGAAAATAGTTACAAATAGTGGCATTTTAGTCACCTGTGGCAACCCTGTCAAATCTAATATTGATTATGGGGGATTGGCTTTATTTTCAATTCTGAATTATTTGACGATTAGACTGGAGACTTAGGCCTCTCAGTTCCAACTGTGAAATTAATATCTTAACAAAATTCCTGATTGAATGATTTTCTTTTTTTTCTTATCAAGAATGATTTTCTTGATCCCTTTGAGGGACTTATTTTCTCTATTTTTATAATTTTGGAATGTGGCCATGTTCAATTTAAGTTTTACACAGGGACCGATCAAGACAAATTCAGGCCAAGGGCCCAAAATATTTTCTGAGCCCCNCGAGGATGCAGTTTTAAGCCAATCAGAAAAGAGAACGCATTCGCGTCAAAGCTTTTTGTTGATTTACTTTGAGTGGGTTTTTGCTGATTACATCTCATCTTATCTTATCATTCTTATGCCTATCCAGTGATTGATATCTTTTAATGTTTACATTTTTGTTGTTTGCTATTATAAAGCTTACTGAGGCTTGCTTACCTTAAAATGGTTAAATTTTAAATCACATTTATTTATTCAACTCATTTCAATCATTTGGAATTTCAGTATAATGTCTGACAGGACAGATCGCGATCGAGAATATCGCAGACAACGGAGATTGGATCCCACGTTTCGTCAAAATGAACAAGAGCGTCGAAGAATAAATCGACAAAATAATCAAGAGCTTACTAATGCCCGCCAAAGAGAAAATCGAAGTAGGGCAGCTAATCGTCTTCGAGAAATAGATGAAAATCAGTATTTGGAAGAATCGTACAGTCGTACTTATGCTCTGCCGCGCATTTATATCCTTATATAAATGTATTAAAATTTGTTTGCGAAGCAAACAAAAGAGAATTGCGTAGCGATTCTCGGGGGTTAGCGAGCGGTAGCGAGCAGGGGGCGGAGCCCCCTAGTATCTATAAATTCAAGCTAAATATAAAACAACACAACAATGTTATGTCAAAATAAAAAATAGTTTGTTGACCACAAACAATTGAAATCAGTGATTTTTGCTGAAAGTCACTGATTAGCTGAATATTTTTTTATTGTCAGCTGAAATCATTTTTTATTTAATACTTAAACAAACACATAGCTAGCTCATATTACATTAGACTTTTTACTAATTTTTGAGACCCCTTAGAAATTGTGGGCCCTAGGCCCATGCCTATTGGGCCTAGGCTATAATCAGGCCCACATAATAAATCAATTTTTACTAAACAATTTCATTCCTTTTTCTGGGATAAATATCCCCACATCATATCCAAGTAAAGATGTAGCTGAAACGACCAAAATATTTAAATATTACAAAAAAACTAAAACCCACTAACGGGGGTGACTGTGGGTCCAACTCAAAAATGCTAAAAATTTCTTGAGTAAAATCATTCAAAAAATTAATATGCTTATAAATTTAATTTTCAAAACATGATATTCTAAATGAATTATATGCAGTATAATTTAAAATAATAATTATGTGTAAGCTTACTTTTATCTCTAATCACATTTATTATTCTACCAGGAAAAATATTTACAAATGAAAGAGATGCCAAGCATAAATTCTAGTTCTAATATTTCTAAATAAAATATACAAGAATTTTTATATATAAATGTGAGCGATGATTTCTTCTTGAAACTTCTGTACCTTGGATTTACGGAAACTTTCGGATTGCAATTAGCGAAAAATCTGGAAATCCAGATTTTTTCCAGAGCACAATCACCCCTGCAGTAACCACTATGGACTAAGAATATAGATAACACTGCTACTATAGGTAGTATTTTCTAATTTTCTGTAGATTAAAAGTTTTCCTGCTTCCAGAGAACATTGAACGAGGGGGAAAATACACACCTGATCGAACAACGAAGCGGCGGACATTAAGGTGTGGAGGTAAAACGCTTGCAGCTTCCCAATCAGAACATAATTGAGAGAAGTAATCTTCACTACAACCAGGACTCTCTTCTGTGTATGTCTCTGTTTTACTAGGAGGATAAAAACCTGAAACAAAAATAAAGCCTCACATTAGTTACACATAACAATCAAGAGATGCATTTGTAGTTACTTTTGATTAAACAAGTCAAAATGAGAATATTACTGGAAACAAAACATAAATTTCACGATTATTGTTGCAATAATGTACTGAATATTTAAGATATAGGGAATTTCAGGGATTTTTATAGTCATCAAAATAGAAAAAAACTGCAATATTTTCCAGTTATGACTGACATTAAATATACTTGAAATGTTATGTATTATGTTTACTCATAATTTAGACTATGAATAGGCATTTAATTCTTCAAAGATAGTTAAAAGACTTTTTTTAATTCATTTAAAAAGAGAGTTCTGAATAAAAATAAACTGAAACTTTTAGAACAAAAAAAAATGATTTGAGCTGATTTCTAAAAATGAGGTTCGCTTCATTATAAATCAGTAATACTTATTTAAACATTCAAGTAAGCATTAAACTGTACAAAAATTCTGTTTCAATATGGATTTATTTAGGAAACTTATTCAATTTCAGGCAATTTTCTAAAATGTACAGAAATTAGGAAACTTTTTATTAAACCAGTACAGCAGGAGAAATTGTAAAATTGTAGAGTTGTGTGGTATTGCTTTTATGATGTTTTGTTACTTTTATATATATGTGGTATTGCTTTTATGATGTTTTGTTACTTTTATCTTTGCTGCACTGCTCTGCTATAATTACTTTAAAGTTTTAGTTTCTTTTTCATAAGTCTTCACCTGCCCTTCTCTGCCCTTAAATAATTCAGCCAAAAATAAAAATAAAAAAGAAATAGCAAGTATAGCCCTACTTATTTTGTGATGGTGGTAACAGCCAATAAGAGTTGAGTATGCTTTGGGGGCTTGGTTAGAGGAGGTGAGAGAAAAGGAATGACACGTGGTTTTGGAGAGCTGAGGTTAAGATAAAAAAAAAAGATGAGGATCCTCAACAGCTAAGTTATATTATAAAATTTTCTATCACCCCATAAATATTTATTTATTAGCAGTGCAGCTTATATAATGTATAATTTCATGTTAAATTTTTATGTACCTATTATTAATTGGAGTGAATGCCTTCCTGGAACAAAATTTGTAACTCTAAATATCTTAAATGATCTATATTAAATAAATAGTTTTAACACCTTGCAATTAGTGATCATTCTAATGATCTTGTTCTCTTACATAAGAGTATATTATTTTTAATTGTTATTCATTTTTATTCTTATCTTAATGTGTGTGGTGATGCACTGAACATCACCACAGTTGGCAGCTATGTCATTGGTAGTAACGTTGGGAAATGACACTATCCAAGTGCAAGAAGAAGAAAAAAAACACAAAAGGGGCAAGGAAAACAAATGAATGGCAACGTTAATAAAGAAACAGAACTAAGTTCTGAAGGAAAAGAAACGCATCAGAAGCACTTATAAGAAGACAAAGTATAGAATGCAGTAGAGGAATGCTGGGCATTGATACCACATATAAATATTTGTTTATAACATAAAAATACATCGTTGCATTTTTTAAAGAAAAATTATAATTATTCCAAATAGATATTAAAGATTCCAAAATAAAATTAATATTCCAATATACAATAATTTAAATAATAAACAATTGTATTAAAATATTTAAACCCAATATTGTGGATATAAAAACAAAAATAGCTTAGTTGACCCACAAACTAAATTACATTAAATAGGTAGCAATTAAATCACAATCATTATTCTTAATTAAAAATTATCAATATAACAAAAATACACAATTAAATCGACGTAATGATACTGATTGCCAATATATGCAGTATTGATACCACATATAAATATTTGTCTATAACATAAAAATATTTTATTACATTTTATATGAATGCCAAAGATTTAACATGTATATATTAATTTGACACAATAAAATGTAATAAAATATTTTTATGTTATAAACAAATATTTATATGTTGTATCAATAGCACAACAACTTAACACAAATAAAAGACTTCTGGCACTATTGGGAGAAGAAAAAGATGATTTTGGAAAAGAGAGAAAGTTAAAAAGTATGGTAGAGTAGAATGCAAGTGGAATAAAAAAAAAAAAGAGATATTGTAGAATATCAATTAAGTAGATTGAAAGGACAAAAAAATTTTTTTTTCTGTGTTCATTAATTAGCAGGGTTGGCTTTTTGCCGGCAGAAACTGGTTATAACCGGTAAAAACCGGCAAAGACTGACAGAAACTAAAAAAACTTCTATATTAGTTCTAGTAATTGCTTAATGACATTTTGTTTAAGTAAACCGAAAAATTTAACTCCATGTAACTGTAACAAACTTTTTAATTCATTGTTTGTAGGTAAATATATATTATTTTGTTTATATTAAATATAAAGAGTGCAGTATATCAAATATTTATATAAAATAAAGAATGATGTAATGTAATAATAAATATAAAGACTAGATTTTAGTTTATTATATTAAACTCTGAAATTCAGTAATTATTATCACTTAACTCTTAACATAACTTAATAGAGCAATTTTCAAATAGTTTTTTTCTCTTTTCAAGGCATAATTTGCATGGCAACAATCCAATTATTATAACAGTAACAGTTTTAATCTTTCGTGGATGACAATGCCTGCTAGTTCTGCTGGACTTGAGAGAATCTTCTCAAATTTCTTGTACGTGTATAGCAAATTGAGAAATTTTTTACGTTTAGAAACTGCAACAAAACTTGTCTTTTTTTTATAGATTACTGCAGAGTGCAAACAATGTAATATTCGATTTTGAATGGTGATAATTTTGTAAATAAATTGTACTTCGTTTAACATTTAATTGCTTTTCTACGAATTATCCATTGTATGTCAATCTCAGTACTTACTTTTATGTCGTTTTCTGAATTTCTGCCACAAACGTGGCAGAAAAGTGTTACTGCCATGCCAGTTTTAACCGGTTTCGACCAGTGGTTTTAGCCACCTCGGCAGAACCTTGCTAATTAGGCACAAGATAAAAGGTGTGCATATTCATAAGATGAACAGAGTTGAAGTTTTGTACAAAAGAAAGGAGTGAAATAAAAAATAAAAATTGGATTAATCATCAAATGACTTAAAATTGACTTTCAAATTACTTTAGCGCAATTCACAAAATATAATTACATTGGGAAAAGTCTCGATATGCCTTATTTCCTTAAACAACAAATACTGAAAATAGAAAATTGTAAAAAGATTTCAAAACCAAACCATTTTTAGAATCAGCATCTAAAAAAAAATTTTTTTTTCTCCAACTTTATGTTTTTCTTAATAGAGTGAAACCTGCCAAGTTGACCACCCTTGTAAGTTGGACACCTGCATAAGTTGACCTCAATTATCAAGAATGGAATTTTTCCTATATAATATAAGGAAGCAAAACCTTTGTAACTTGATCACCAGTCTATCTTGTATGTTGACCACTGAAAGAAGTCAATTTTGTCTAGGAGTACTATTATGAAATTCTATTCTAAAACCCTCATAAGGTGACCAGAAAAAAAAAATTTCTGTCATTTTGCAATGTATGTTAAAATTTCACTTGTTTGGTGAAATGGTGCAAAAAGCTAATCTAAACCCTTTTGTGAGTTGACCATCTGGGGAAACTGTAGGGGGTCAGCTTTTGATCATTTCCTTCATTCAAAACATAGGGATGATGTAAAGTCTAAACAACAGCGTCAAACAACAATGAGGGAATATTTTTGTAACAAATAGGTTTGTAAGTGTAGAATAACAGAATATATTTTAAAGTGTTCAAATAATTTTGTTTTGTTAAAGTTTTCAAATTACGTGTTTTCGTGTTCTGATATTTCAAGAAATTATTTTTATTAAGCACTTCACGTGCATAACTAATAAAATAATTTTTTTTAAAAAAGTCAGTTAAATATTAGAATTATATGTAACAAATTGAAGTTCATTCAGGTTTAAACACATTTCTTAAGATATTCATTTGGCTATTAGCTAAATAAAATTTTTAAGTCAAGTAAAAAAAAATTCAATATATAGCAACATGATAAAGGAAATGAAAAAGCAAACAATGACCCACCCCCTCTATAAGTTATCCACTTGTCTAAGTTGACCACTAAAACAATGCACCACAAGTGGTCAACTTACACAAGTCTTACTGTACTAAAATAAAGTATATTAATACATTTTTGGATTACGAACTAATTTATACCTTCAATTAATGTGTTCAGAAAATAGTTTTAAAATCCTTTTTTTTTTCTTCAGAAATTATGAACAGATATTAAGAAGACAAGAATGTTAATGTTTCGTTGATGCTCAATAATGTCAATAATTTCATTAACCCCAGAATCTGCTTGGAAGACGCCTTTTTATTTTTGAAACAGAAACAATTCAACTTAGAAAAATTAACTTATTAAACTTGTTAGAAATTGAACTTATTCTTTTATTTTGTTGAGAGTGACAGGAAATATGAGGAAAAGTAGAGAAAATCTCCATCATGCATTTAACCATATAATTTGAGTAATTTTAAGGGGGGGGGAAATACATAAAGGGAGTAAAATATAAACTCTATCAATATGAGCTCTGAAGTATATTTAGAATAAATTTTTGATGAACAAAAAAAAAATACATTTTCACGAATTTTTGAGACATTCACTTGTCTGAAATAACTGTTTAACTTTGATTCCAGGGGAGGGATCATTCTATTGTCTTATTCCACTTTTGAAATTTCAGAGTTGTTTAACATCCTTAAAAAAATGAGTTTTAGAGCAGTAGTCAACAAAAAAATTTACTGCATTGACTTTTTTAGAAAGTTGCAACTATTTATATACAGTCAAACTCCGCTATAGTGAACCTTCAAGGGACCAAAATTTTGGTTCACTATAACCGGGAGTTCACTATATCCATACTGCAAACCATTTTAACTAATTTTTGCAAACTTTTACTGAACTTTATTTAAAAAAATGAACAATAAAAACAAATACAAAAATGATTAAAAAACAATATGTAGTAACAAAAAAATATGTTAATTTTTATTTTTTATGACTCTTCGTCTTGCGTAAAAAAAATTTAGGGTTGGTCTTTATATACGGATAGGAAACTGAGGTCGAAGAAGCAAACAAGAAAATATGGTTAAGGCTACATTCCATTCAATAGATGATTCTAAAAATCGGTATGTGTATTTTATGCAGAAATTTCAAAATTACCAAAAAATGAAGAAAAAAATCAGTTGAAGACAGAAAAAACTTCATACTATCCAATTTCCTCTCACAAAAAATAATATTATATTTGTTCAGCAAGGCACGAACATTTCGTTCACTATACCCGGGAGTTCACTATAGACCATGTTCACTATTGCAGGGTTTGACTGTATTACAATTTTTTTCATTTAAGAATCTTATGCAAAACTTATTTTAATATCTTGTGGCAGAATTTTTTCAAGCTTTCTGTGACAAACTTCACTAGCATTAATATTTCTCTCTAAGATACTTTTGATTATAACAATTACTCACTTAAAGTAACAGAAACGTTGTGTTGACAGAAGAAAATGTAGAATAAAAATGTATAAAAAATTTTAATTGTAAAAGTTTTATTTTTTAATTCTAATACTATGATGCTTTCTCGCATTTTGTGGGCGGAAAAATGGACTAAATATTTCTTCTTTTGAATTTCGTAAATCATTACAAAAATTAAAATTCATATATAAATGAAACCATGATAAATAAAATTTTTTTTACATAAATTAAAAATCTTAAGATCCATGCAGTGACTCCAAAATAAAGATCGACGACGAAATTACGCAAATCAGACACATTAAAAAAAATATACTTAAGTGTGTGTAAAACACGGTGTTCTTTAAAGAAGAAAAAAAAGAAAGAAAGAACATCACTCCTAGAGCAAATTATCTTTCAAAATTTCATGAATTTTTTATTTTATATTATTAATTAAAAATTCCAGCTGTAGCCAATCATAACGTACTTTTTTAAAAATCTCAAATGAGAATAGAAAAATCGTGATTATTTCTTTTCTCTCTGATGTGCAAGAAAGACATCTTTGAAAGAAAAAAAATTCTGCAGAAAAAAAAAACTTTTTCGAAAAATTACGCAGAAAAGAAAACCAAAATATTTTCCTTCCCAATTAAAAAATCTTTCTGCAAAAACTCTAACGTTCTGCAACAATGCGCAATTTTGCCACAGGGTTTTAATATCGCATTTAGTATTTTAATTTAATATGTTGTGTTTTTAAATGTATAATCCCAAGAAACTGAAGTGGAAAGACAAAAAAATTTTTTGCTTAAAAAAAACAACAACATAAAGATGGTAATGAAAGTTGAAAATGTGTGTCGATATGCGATCGCACAAAACAAGTTAGCCTTTATTATCATCTACATATTTTTGAAGCAAATATTACGTGTGCTCAAAAATAGGCACTCATTCTCAAGATTTGGAAGAGGTGAATGAGGAAAGCAAAAGTGATTTGAAACAGAAAATGTATGGTTGAAACCTAAAATGAAAAACAAAGGCAAAAAACTGTGGTATCTGAGAGTGTAATAGATAATGAATACCTAGCAAGTGAAACCTTGGCGACATCGAACAAATCGGACTAAAGACTGACAGTAAAGAAACACGATAGATATGTTCAACATTAAAAATGCAATGAAATATCCATTACCACAGATTCTAGGACACGCATCCAATACATGGCTAATTGGACAAACCAGATTCACTTTAAAATTTAAACTAAAAGAATATGATAGAATATGTCTGTTATCAAGAATGAGATAAATCATCTACAGTCGCATTGTTGGAATTTTAAAACAAACTTAAGCTCGATAATGCCAAAATTTTTACCACATCAGCTCATCTTGATGCTCTTGAATCTTGTTTTATTCATAGGAATAAAGTAAAAATAATAAAGTAATAAAGAAATTAATGATCATTTTAACCTTTTTTATTGTAAGTTAAGACCAATTATGGTAATGAATTTATGTCACAGTTGCGAAAACATAACTCAGAATGAAATCTACAAATAGGAAACTCAAGAATCAACAAATAAGGAAACTTGCTTTAAATTGTATTCTATTAGAAGAATCCGGAAAAATTTAAAAGGTAATGAGTCTCTAACCAAGTGAACACATAGGAAAAACACATTAATGGTCCATTTATGTGAATCTTAGACAGGAAACAAACAAAACTGTAAGTGAGTGAGGATTAAAACCTGCGTCACTAGTGTCATGTGATTGTGATTAACATATAAAGGCATTAGTAAGTTAGGCATTAATATGTAATCACTCAAGAATAAGATAATTTATTATGAATGATTCATACTCAATTGAAGTTCAAAAAAAAGTAAAACTTTTTAAATATATTCATATGAAAAAAAAACTCATTCATTTGTACAAAAAATTACAATATTTAGTTAATCATAGTCAGTATTAATTCTGCCAGACGTCAAAATATAAAAACCTGAAAGTTTGTAAAAGAAATATTTTAATGTGAATAAAGTAAGGCTAAAATAAAAACTTATTCACTCATGAATAAGAAAAATTTATTATGAAAGTTTCATATTCAAAAGAAGTTTTAAAAAAAATAAAAACTTTATAAAAACATTCATTTAAAAATAAAAACTTATTCAATTTTACAAAAAAGATTACAATATTTAGTTTACTAAAGCCAGTAATAATTCTACTGCTAGATGTTAAAATTCTGAAAGTTTGTAAATTAAATACTTTAATAATAAAAAATCAGGCATCATGATGTTATCACTCATAAATAGGGTAAATTTATTATTAAAGATACTGAAATGAAATCAAAATGAAGTAAAAAAATAAACATTTTAAAAACAATCATTTTTACAAATATAAAACTTGCTTATTTTTATAATAAAAAAAAAATTGACTCTTACAAAAGAAATTGCAATTAATATTTATTTTTCAATAACAGGTAATAATTCTGTTTCAAGATGTGAAAACATAAAAACATTTTAAAAACCAGAAAGTCTGTAAAAAATGCTTTAAAGTAAAGAAGTTAGATATTACAATGTAAAGTCACACATAAATAGAGTAGATTAAGGATTCACATTCAAATAAAGTAAAAAATATATAAATAACGACATTTTAAAAACATTCATTTTTACAAAAAAATTCATTTATTTTTGCAAAAAAAAAACAATCATCATTTAATTTTCTATTGCTGATAATAATTCTGTTGCAAAATGCCAAAATAAAAAAAACATTTTAAAAACATGAAAGTCTGTATTAAAAAAAATAACCTTTTAAAGGCCCTGAAAACCGTTTTACAGACTAAGAACATTTTGATGATTTTTAAGAACTTGTACAAAATCTGCTAATATTAAACGTATGAGAAAAATGTTGGGTTTTTTGCTAACTTTTTTTTAAAAAAAATACAAAAGATAATAAACACTTCCATATTCCACTCACCCACACCAGATATTACGCCAAACACTTTGGGTGGGACATCCATTTTCTGAATCTCTTCTGCCAGCAGCTTTGTCGTGTGTATGCGACTTGCATAAACATTCTGCTGAAATCCCGGAGTCCATCTAAATACAAGCACACACACAATCAAACAAATAACAATAGTTGCTCACATAGAAATTATTCCCTGAAAGAAATAAAATTCTTATTATGTTTAGAACAATTCAAATGAACTTTAAAGCATTTCTTGGTTATGAGTAGCCTTTCATGAGTCATGGCAGGAAAGGTCACATAATGACTATAGGTGATTGTGACACCAACTCACAAAGCCTGAAAATTTCTTCATTATTGACACATTTCAAAAAAATTAATGTCTTGATAAATTTAAATCATTGATATTTTCAAAACATCATATTGTAAATAAATTATATGCAGCATAATTTAAATGAATAATTATGTATAAGTTTAACTTATAAGTTAACTTCCTAAACTTATGTATAAGTTTTACTTATACATAAGTTTAGGAAGTTTAGGAATTTTTATCTCTAATCACATTTATTATTCAAACCAGAAAAAATATTTACAAATGAAAGAGATGTCAAGTATAAATTCTATTTATAATAGTTTTAAATAAAATATACAAGAATTTTTATATGTGTTTGTGATCTATGATTTCTTCTTGAAACTTCTGTACCTTGGATTTCCGGAAACTTCCGGATCGCGGTTAGCGAAAAATCTGGAAATCCAGATTTTGTCCAGAGCACAATCATCTCTGCATTAATGAATGTCTTCTTCATTAACCTAATTTCACATTGCTGGAAAATACTTTATTTATTTATTTTTATTTACTTATTATTATTATTTTTTTTTTTTTTGCTTTTTTAACACCTACTGCTTCATTTTATATATTCCACAAGAGAGTTGTGATAAAAAAAGTTTAGCAATAGCTCACATTGAAAAAAAAAATCCCAAGCAAACAAGAGTTGAAAATAAAAGAATTAAGACGACAAAGAGAGTTTAGTGTGCTGTTACATTATTAGGATTTATATTACTTATATTACTATTATCAGGGGTCTGTCTAGGTTTTTTTGAAAGGTACCAATTTTGTGAAAATTTAGACGTAATTTGCCATAAGTTTAAAATTATATAAAAAAAAATCAACACATAAAATATGGAAAAGTAAGAAATTTTTTTTCAAAAAATGTTACTACAAATAAAAATCATGTATGACTGGTAAATTTGTATATATTTCTCCCCATATACTCAAAAACGATTTTGCTATTGTAAAATTTTGAGCTTAAAAATTGTATCCAAATTTAAAAGTCCACGAAAATCATTGTACAGTAGGGAACCGATTATCCGGAACGGTCGGGACCATCGCTATTCCGGATAACTGATTTTTCCGGTTTTCTGAATCGCTACAAAAAGCCGTTTTTTTTATTGTTAAACCCAACTAAAAAAAAAAAAAAATTGGAAATAATCTTAAAAATAAGAAACAACGATGAAGTAATGCACTAATGATTATTTCCAAAATGATGGTAAGGTAAACCTCTTTAAAAAAGAAAGAAAAATCGTAAAATCTTAAAAGGAAAAATAATTGTTTTCAAAAATGGCAAGAAAATTTATCGAATTTTGTTCCGGTTTTTTGGTTTTCTGGTTTTCTGATTTCCGGATAACGGGTTCTGTACTGTACATAGTTACATTTCAACTTGAATTCAACTTAAATTTCAAATTTAAGGTCAGTTAGAATAAATTTACTATAATATTTAAGATAATGTTTGAATTTCGACTTCCTGCAAAGTTTATAGAGGGAGAGCCTCATTTCACTTTAAAAATTCACCCGTAATTTATCGTTTTTTAAGGGGATACAAAAACAAAATTTTAAGAGGCAGAGAGGAGAATCTTAAAACTTGCTTTTTCAAAAGTATTTCGTGAAACTGTTTCTCCTAAAGTTGAATTTGGGAAAGATGCCACTAAACGGTAGTAAACTTGTCTGGACAGACTCCTGATTATTATTATTATGTTACTATTATAATCTATAATTATTATTATATAATTATTATTATTATAGGCTGGTATTAAAATCTTTACTATTAGAATTTAATAAAGTTTAAAACCTTGAAATTGAAATGCTGTTTTGAAGAATAAGCATATTTATGTTAAATACTCAAAGAAATATATAAAAAGTTTTAACTCCATTGCAAGAGCAAATAAAAAGTTTTATTTTATTTTTTATGATGCGAGCCAAAATTATTCAGTCTGGTCTGAACAGTGTATACAATTTCTTCATCAGATTTTAATTTAAACGTTTCATACAATTTCCTTGTAATAATAATTGATATTTTGTTTCTAAAAAAGTAACATGTATTACTTTATGAAAAATACTGTATACTTCTCCTCCAGTATTGATGTTAATATAGCATTTTTTTTTTTCCTTTTGAGAATTCAAACCTTTCATACAATTTTTCTGCGATTAAAACTAATAATCTGTTTTTAAAATTGCCAAGCAACATGAATTACTTCATTAAAAAAAGTACTTTTTCTCTCCTACTATTAATGTTCAAAGTCCAAGTATTATTCATCAAAAGTACCTTTCAGAGTATTTGTATATCAGGGTGAGAGATTTTTCAACAAAAACTAAGCACCTTTTAAGCACTCAAAATATATTTTTAATCACTTTAAAAAAAAATCATAATCAGGAGCTGAAAATCATAATGCAAGAATAAAAATTATTTCTTCCTATTGTTTAATATTCTTCATTTATATACATAAAATCAACAAAATGCAAAAATATTTTCAAAGACTTTTCATAATCATGATAAAATAACTAGTTTCTGATAAATATTGCAGAGAAAAAATTGCCAAAGCATGCTTTTTTTTCTTCAATTTATGACGTCGATCGACACAGCAAAGAAAAAATCCTGAAAGATGGAAAATTAAGCACTTTTTCAAACCTCAATTGAAAAAACAACCTTTAAGGGCTTTTAAAAAACATAAATCAAAAAAAGCACCTTTAAGCATTTTTTTAAAAATCCTACTCACCCTGTATATGGTTTTTATAATGTTAGCATATCTTTTACTTAACATTTTAATAACAAATTCACCATACTTCTACAGGAACAAGACAAAAATTAAATGGACTCTAACATGAACATTATGAGTTACATATTGTCTTTATTTCTGACTGTATGATTTTAAATCTTGAAATTCTATTTATTTAAAAAGGCAACCATCTGGTCGCCAGTGCCAACTAGTCAATTATAATTACAAAGAAATTGAATAAAAGGTTTCAATCCTAATAAAATAAAAACTGTCTTAAAAATAACGATAATATTATGAGAAAAATGAGCTCCATTTTTTATGAAGAAACCCATGTTACTTAGCAAGTTTAAAAACATAATATTAATTATAATTACAAGGAGATTGTACAAAATTGTATAAAAGGTTTCAATCCTTTTTAAAAAAAAAAGCAGCCTTAAACCACATTAATAATAGGAAGAAGTTAATAATTTTTTTTGTCTATTTTATTTAACCAATGTTAAAAACAAAATTTCAGATATAAGTACAAAGAAAATGTATAAAAGGTTTCAATTCTCATAAGAAATAAAAACGACTTTAACATTAATACTAAGGGAGAAATGAACTACATTCTTCAGAAGTTTAATACAGTTCGCTATAGTGAACACGGATTATAGTGAACTCCCGGATATAGTGAACAAAATGTTCGCTCCCGTGTCCTGCTATACACATATTATGTAATTTTTTGTGGATATAGTGAACTAAAAAAGTGAGGAAGTTGGATATTATGAACATTTTTCTGTCTTCAACTGATTTTTTTTAATAATTTTGAAATATCTACTTCAAAATAAATACTTATACTGATTTTTAAAACCATCTATACAGTGGAATGTAGCGATAAGCATTTTTTGTTTTTGTTTTTTTTGTTTACTTCTTTTATTTCACTTTTCCATCCCTAAAGAAAGGCAGACATATGGACAAATTTTTCCCTGCATTAGCTAAGGATTACTAATTTCTTGTGTACACAAGACGAAGAGTAATAAAAAATAAAAGCAAGTTACCACATTTTTTGTTACTACGTATTATTTTTCAGACATTTTTGTACTTAATTTTATTGGTCATTTATTTAAATAATGTATAATAAAAAGGAGTTCAGAGCCATTAGTTAAAATTGTTTGCGGAATGGATATAGTGAACTCCCGGTTATAGTGAACCGAAATTTCAGTCCCTTGAAGGCTCACTATAGCGGGGTTTGACTGTATACCCATTTAAAACAGAATCTTAAAGTTTAATTTGCCTTTTGTGTTTTTACCCATATTAAAACAGAATTTCAATTATAATTACAAGGAAATTCTATAAAAGCTTTTAATCCTCAAATGGAAACAAAATTATCTCAAACAATATTAATACAGGAAGAGAAATAAACTATATTAATTTAGGATTGACTGTATTTTACCAAACCATGTAAAAAACATATTTCAATTACAAAAGATTTCAAATCTCATGTGTAAAAAATTATTCCAACATAAGGTTGAAACAAACTACATCCTTTTAGAATTTACTATATTTTATTCAGTCACATTAAAAACAGAATTTCAATTAGAATTACAAAACAAATTACATAAAAAGTTTCAACCGTAATTTGGAAAAAATTTTCTTAAATAAAATTAATACTAGAGGGCCTACACTATGCACTTTAAATTATTGGCCAGAAAATTAGCTAAATGTCAAAAGTATTAGCCAAATTTCAAACATCTGCATCCATCCTAACAATTTAAGATTAATTTTTTGCCATAAAAAACTTCAAATCAAAAACAAATTTATAATGAATCCAACTATTTTATAAAGAGCTAATTCAAATCAGAGTCGTTTTACAGCAATGAATGAAAGAAAATGAATTTTTTTTCCCATAGGAAACTTCAAACCAAAAACAAATTTATAATAAATCGAACTATTTTATAAAGAGCTAATTCAAATCAAAAGTCATTTTACAGCTGGGGAGGATTAAATGATCAATTAAAGGAAGAGAGGAAGAAAAATGCTGTTTATTGTCTTTGATGAAAAGAAATAGGAATAGCTTGGTAACCTGACTAGAGTAGGATGAACCTGAAGCAACATTGGATTCCGACTATCTTTTTTTTAAGTATATCTGATTATGATATAAAATACACAAAAGGCAACTTTAAAGCTGACATATTTTCTCAGCATGTTCTAGATAATAGTATTAAAAATAATTTTGTTATGAATAATGAAAATCTTTTGCAATTAGATCATATTTGCAAAAAGATAACTTATTGGAAATTTTATTGAAATTGATAATGTTTTATGCATACATAAAAAAGGTTTCACTAAAATTGTTATTCCTTTCTCATTAAGACCTAAATTGCACGAAATAGTTCATTTTAAAATAATTCCAAAATTCAGTCATCTTGGGATTCAAAAAACAATTAATTTTCTTACTTCTATACATTATTGGGAAAATATTGCTTGGTTTAAACAAAGCAAATTTTAATAAACATTGTCATACTTGTTGAATCTAGACAAAAACTATTTGGTTTACTTCAGAAGTTCTTCCATTTGATACACCGTTTTAAATAATTGCAAAAGACAGTGGTTTTAATTAGTATAATTCCACAAAAAATATTTAACTTTAATAGTTGATCTCATTATATGTGGTCTTTTGCATCAAAATCTTATCAATTTATTTTATATAAAAGGTTTGATTATTTAAGTTTTTTATTTTTTAATAAAAGAATTTTTATTATCTCATTTATTTTTTAGTGTCACAAACATAATTATAATAATTCAGAAAAAGAGAATTGTTGTAAAAGATAAATTATTTCATCATCATCATAGTTGGCCAGACAGCCCAATGTGGGCCAATGCTTTCCTCTGAAGTAATGACTTCTGATTTACCTTTGATCTCCAATTCTTTTAATTAATTGTAAAAAATCAGACTCCACTGAGTCAGCCCATCTCAACCATGGCCTTCCCTGCTTTTTTGTTCCAGTGGGTTGAAAAAGCATTTTTTTGATTGTATTGTCATCACTCATTCGAATCATATGGGCCATCCAATTCATTCTATTCATTTTTATTTATTTAATAATATCCGATTGTTTATAAATCTTGTACAGTTCAAAGTTAAATTTCCTTATCCAGTCATTGTTTTCATTTACACCACCAAGTATACTCCGCAAAATCATTCTCTCAAATATTGTGATATGATTTTCTTCCAGTTTTGTCATTGTCCAAACTTCAGAAGCGTATGTCAAGACTGGCTTGACAAGAAATTTGTAGATTAGGAACTTTGTTTTTCTATAAATTGTTCAAATCATTTAATTCTATTTTTTCCGTTTTATTGCTTTTTATACTACTTGCAGAGATTTTTTTATCAAAATTGAGGCAGAGGTTTAAAACATCCATCGTCAGCCGAGCGCGGGTGGTTATACTATATCTATCATTGAAGAGTGTGATTCGAAAAGAGCTTCATTTAGAACAACAATGTGTAAGTCATAAATCATTTTTCTAATGCCATTCCCAATGTGTGATTTGTAAACTACTAATGAGAATTGTGATGCATGATTCTGAAGTTACTTACATACATATCATGTTATATGATTCAGAAATAACTTAAAATCCTGGTGTGATTGATAAATCACTTTAATGTGAATCATGGTGTGTGATTTATAAAATACCTTCAAAAGAATTTTGATGAGTAATTTGCAAATCACTTTAAAGCAATATTAGATATGTGATACCTTAATCGCTTTAATTTGTGTCGCAATTCGAAGAACATTTTATACGAGTTCGTAAATCAAGAATCTGTTTAGTGTGAATCATGATGTATATTCATAATCCAAGAAATCTGGAGAACTAAATTTTATTTATTAGCAGTAAAAACTAAATGTAAAAATCTGATTCTTAAAAAGAACAAATAGGATAACAATATTAACCTGTCGTAATAATGAATTTAACACATTGAACATATTTCTGAATCGATGAAACACCGTATATCTTACGAAAACTATGACTACAAAAACTAAAATTTGCTTGAAATGTAAGCTTTCTAAACATCAGAGATGAACAATAAACAGGTGTGAAAAATCTAGAGAGAAAAATTTTGCATCTTCTTTAACCTCTTTTCACTTCAAGCGTTGAAGGACTTTTCAGGACCATGATTTTTTTTTCAACAAAATTCAAGGACTTTCAAGGTTTTTCAAGTGAATGAATTTAAAAATCATATCATTAGAAAAATGTTACTAATTTTCCCTGTGTGCTTCATTTGTTAAATAACAAAATAATAATGTTTTGTCTTTGTATAACAGAATATAAATTACAAGTATGGAAAAAATGGTAGAGAATGAATCAATCATTAAAGAGAGAAAATACCTTCGTTTAGCATCTAATATATTCTGCCCAGCCACATTAATGACAGCTACGCAAGATTTTGGCAAACCCTCCTTTGTCACATCATTCTGAAAATAAAACAATCCTCCTATTCAATCACGCTTTTCAAAAATAAAAATGACACCCTCAATAACTTTTGAGATAAAGATTAAATTTTACAACACAAAAACTATGTGATAAATTCTGCTTAAATTTTATATTTTGTCATTTAAAATTATGCTAAAACACCGTAAATATTAATATACTTAACAATTCAAAATTTTCAAGTTTTAATTAATAAAAAAATAAATTATTAAAGCATTTTTTCTTCTTTTTCTTTTTTTTTACTTGAGTTTATCTTTGGAAAGTGAAATTTAATAATTGTGCGCAAATTTTTTTTTATTTGCTTAAAAATTTTTCTACATTAACATTAAGGGGTCAAAATTTTGTACCTCTCTCCTGACCAAAATATTGGGACCCTATTTGAAAGATTGCGGTTACCCTCAATATTTTTGGGGTCAGAATTCCGAATCCGCCCATAAAGAAGTATGTTCATTCAGCAAAAGTTGCTTTTGTGTCTGATTTCATAACTTAAAATGTCGTTTGCACTAATGAATTAGTATATTTGAGGTCACCCCCTTGAACTATTAAGATTGAATCCTAAAACATGAAGATTAGATCGTTATATAAAAGTTATTTAGGGTGGTCTGCTTGTTATTATTATTTATTTACTTATTTTTTTTTAACACTGTACATTACAGATGTGACTTTTCGGCCTCAGGACACAAAACGATAAAATGGTTCGTACAATATCAATTTAATACCACTGCTATAATTTTTTTTTGAGTTATTTAAAAAGTTCTTGAGACATGACGAAATAAGCAAAAAGTTATGAAAATATTCATAAGTTATTTTTCAACCATGAAAATTTACTTTGAATTACATATTTATTGATATCTTATCTTAAAACATCTAGATATATCTCACTCTAACCACTACTTTAAACAATTTTCTAGACCAATTTATTTCACATAGATATTTTTTAACAGGTACAATGAGAAGTGAACATTTAAAAATTACATATTATTGATTATAAGTAATATAGGTTTACAGAACCGTTTTTAGGCATGGGCACACCCGGGCAGTGCCTGAGGGCCCCAGGCACTCAGGGGGCCCTTGAGAATCTTACTTTTAATAAATTGTATTTAAAAAAAAACTAAGATTAAACAAAATTACCTTATATATTTTTTAAAATAAATATATTATATTGTATAAAGTGTGTATTTTGCTTTTCTTTCTACAAATAGCGATTGATTATCGTGCAAAGAACAATGGTTTGAATAGTTTATCACCAGGGAAACTTAAAAAGGCAACCCAAATCTACTTTTCTACATTCCAATGAAATTTTTATGTGAATTCAGTTTTTTTTTGGGGGGTCTACTAAAAACATATTTAAATCAAAATGTATTTAAATTTGTAAAAATTATTGCATGTTAAAAATGCTTTATTTTATGTGAAAATTTTTAGTTTGATTTTAAGCAGTATGACATGTTATAAGGACCCAAAGCATTTCTTTGCCCGGGGGCTCTACATTCGATTAAGACAGCCCTGTAGGTTTACAATAACAATTAAACTCTAAATAGAAAAAAAATTTATAAGAAAATTTGTTTGTTTTTTTCACTAAATTTTATTTAAAATAAATATATTTATGAACATGATATAAAATTATATTTTAAAAAGAAATAGCTTAATTTGAATCAGTCAAGCCTACGATTCTTGTTCTTTAAAAAAATCTTGACAGAAAAGAATGTTAAAAGCTCACATTACAAATTGCACATACAGGTGTAAACAATTTGCAAATTGGCAAGCAATCTGCTTATTTTTATAATCCTTAAAATTACTAAATTTCTATACTGGGCATTTGATAAGACTGATGATCATTTCTGCATGAAGCAACAATACATAAAAATTCTGCAAATTCTCCATTTCTGAAATGGAGAGCACATGTGTATTTCACAAGATTCATGGCTTTATATAAAAAGTTTGTTCCTCAAATCTGGAGAAAGAAAAATTCCCTGTACATATTATAATACAATACATTCAGAGGAATACTGTTCTCTTGTTATATAGGGTTAACTATATTTATTAGTTTTAATTGATCTAAAAACTTGGAGGGAAAAAAAAAGGGAGCAGCTGAACATATTTAAATAGTAATATTGAAATAGTATAGTATAGCTGAAACATTATGGTTAAATATCCCGTAGAATTGAAGGGATTATCGACCATGTCAACCTTCATCTAATCAAAAGGTACCTCATGATAGAATCAAGTTAACATGTACTAGGGAATCGACATTTAATATTTGTAGTGGTAGTTGTGCCACTCTTTGAGTAATCACCATTTTTTTAAAAGACAAAATTCCCAGTTTGTAAAGAAAAAAATCAAAATTCCCTGCATTTTCCAGGTTTACCTGTAGAGTGGTAAACCCTCTATAAACTTAACAAATAATATCATAATTTTATATTCACTTCAGAACTCTGAAATTGAATAGTTTAGTTATCCTTTCAGGACTATTCTAATTCAATCGGAGTTTCCAATTATTTATTTATTTTTCCCTTTCTATTCAGGCAATAAAAAGGTTTTACTTTTCTTTGAGAATAAAACTTAAATGTTATTTAAAAACAAAAGGTATTTTATGTAAATGTATTTTCTTTTCCCAGAAAAAAACTTTTTGTAAATGACATTTAGTTACCAGTTTCAAAAAAAATTTTTATATTGAATTCTTAAACAGATCAAAATTTCTTTAAATAAACAAAACAATTTACATTTTTGAAACAGTTTATCTCTATTATTTTTTAAAACAAAAGATTCTATGTTTTCCTACAAGCCTTATCTTGCACATGTAAATGTAGACCCAAGTAAAAAGCTTATTCTGTCATTGTTAATTTGCAATAACGTAACTAAAAAGAATAAATCAAGAAAGCAGAGAAAATAATACCACTGAGTTTACTACATCATTAAAACTATAGGAATGTAGATGACTTGAACAATTTTAGTGTAGCAAAAATGTAACACTGTTACAAAATTATCCTTCTTCTACCTTTACAAGCAGAAAATTGTAACATGTTCAGCACAATTTTAAAGGCAATGCCTGTTATTAAGAAGCTAGGATAGGTTTTGGTCAATGTTTCAGAGATAATATTTACTGGAATACAGATAAAGATGTGCAATGCTTTTTTTTTAGAAAAAAGATTACTCTGTTTGAGATTGGATTGAAGTAACATTGCCAACAAACAATTACTTATTTCAAATCAGCTCACATTCCAACTTATTTTTATGAGACATAGTCCAAATGTATGTGATTATATTATTGAGTTACTTGTGTAGCAAAACTTGATTCACTACTTTATGCCTTGTCTGCATCAATTCAATGTAGAAGATTACGAAAATCTCACACAAAGAATTTTAATATATTTATATGTAATATAATACCAAAATATGTTTTAATAAATTACGATATTAGAAAAACTTAAAGTGATTAGTAAAGTCTTGTGATACTATATAATTTAAGAAAGAATTAATTTTCAATATAAATGCATTCTGACAGCAAATATAAGATTTAAGAAAGGAAAGTAACAGTAGTTGCTTGTATATTTTTTTCCTCACTTGTGCATTGATTGGAGTAGGAGTTTTTCTATTTTTTCCCACACAAACTATAAAGTCACAAATGCAAAGCCAACAACCATAGCTAATTGTTTTTTTTAAAATTATTTTAGGCGATGGTTATTTTTCAAAAAATAAATGAAATAGCTGAATTTTCTTATGCCAGTAAACAGGGTTCATTGATTCAAATCAGCTTGATTTAAATCATGATTAAAATCAAATGATTTTATTAAAAAAATCATTGATTTAAATCAACTGCTTTTAATATATATATTATATTGATTTTAAAAGTTAAAAAACCGTGCTTTAAATTATTGATACTTTTATTATTTTCTTTTCTTAGTTTCAAAATTTGTTTTGAATAAATTGCTGCATTAATTAATTTTAGTTAACGAAATTACTTTCTTTCTTGGTGTGTGTTAAACACATTTGAAATTACATGTTTAAAAATCTTTTGATTCTTAACATTGAAAGTGCAGATTAGAGTAAATATTTAATGCTGTTTTAATATAGACTTGCATAGCTGTAGAAAGTAAATAAACTTTTTTTCAAAAAGAAAAAAAGCAAATGTTAATTAAAATTCTACCTTTTGATTAAAAAAGCATGGAATTCCAATCTACATTATAGTTTATTGATGCAAATTTCTATATTTCTAAAGCTAGAGGTTATATTAAAAAGAAATTACGTTAACATGCCAAAAATAGAAAAAAGAAAAAAAAGAAAACTGAGTTCAGATATTTTTTTCCTGATATAGTGATTTCCTGATATCCCTTTCAAAGTCTATTTGAAGCAGTAGGGTTATTAACAGGTATTTTTTTTTCTCATAATATGTTTACGGTATCTTTGAAATTATCAGATTTTCTTTTGTGAAAAAAAATTCCAATGAGTTCATAAATTCTTTTAAAATGTTTTTTAGCTTAACTTATGTATTTTGATATAGGATTAAAAATGAATATTTTAACATAAAAAAAAATAGATTGAATATTTATTTTTTGATGAATGACAACATTTTTTGATGAATGACAAAAAATGAATATTTTAACATAAAAATATATAGATTGAATATTTATTTTTTGATGAATGACAACCATTAAAACACAATTTATAAACACAATCTGTTGCATTTATTTTGCCATTTTATAAATCATGAGAAAAAAAAAAAGAGATCACAATTTTAAATTAAAATTATGGTCTGCTAATTGAAACTTTGTGTTACTAGTTAAAGTAGTATTCTTTAAATTATCTATTTTATCTTGACTTTTAATTTCAATCATGTCTTTGTATCAAAATGGTCACTATGCATTATAATGAAAAATTATTTTAGTAAGTTAGAGCTTCTAAAATATTGTTATAATATAGTTTTAATATTAATTTAATTTTGATTAAACATTTATAAGGTTTTGTTAATCATAAATTAAAGCTCTCATAGTGTATTTGAATAAAAATCAAAAAAATCTGATTTAAATCAAAAAAATCCGATTTAAATCAAAATAATCACGAACCCTGCCAGTAAAGTGGAAATTTAAAGAAAATATCTTATAAGTTTTGATAAAAAAAGATACTATTTCAACAGTCGGATTTGTTTTTTTTTTAACCAAGCGTGCATAACAGATTCTATTTTTTCCTGACTACTCAAAATCTCTCAAAAGGCATAAAAAAAATTATCAGAATCATCATCTTTTTTACTTTAGAGATTTATTAAAAAAACAATAGATTTAAATCTTAGATGTAACCAAAACTGTCAACAGCTATGAAACCAAGAGTAAAAATTGATAAAATATGGGGAAAGAAAAAGATCAAATAATTTTCACGACATTAAAGACTTCTAATAAACTAACAGACAAAATCCATTCATTTTAATTTTTCAAATCCCAATTCACTTACCCATGAAATAGAATTCAGTTTTGGCTGCCTTGATACAGTAAGAACATCGTAACCAATTTTACTCAAATTCCTGGCAATTGCACGACCAATAAAACCACTACCTCCACCTGAAATTTAATAAAAAATATTCATAAATAAACATTTATCATAAATAAACATTTAAATTCTAACAATCACTAATGCATTTCTTCTATACTGCATTGGGTCGGTATTCTTGATACAAAAGTTTGAAGGGTTTTTACAACTAAATATCAAAAAGCTTCATTAATTTTTTAGTGAAAATCATAGTAAATGCAGGGGTCTGTCAAGGCAAAATTTACTACCATTTAGCGGTACCTTCACAAATTCAACTTTAGGAAAAACGGTAGTTGCACAAAATACTTTTTCTTAAAATATTATTTTTCTTATCCCATAAGAAACGATAAATCTATATTTTTGTGTTGATTTTTTAATATAATTTTTAACTTTCACAAATTATGTCTACATTTTCACAAAATAGGTACCTCTCAGAAAAACCTAGACAGACCCCTAAAATCGCAAATAAAATGGTGTTAGCAAAAAGAATACCTTCACAAAATACTTTTTCTTAAAATATTACTTTTGTATCCCGTAAGAAACGATATATCCATATTTTTTTGTTGACTTTTAATATAATTTTTAATTTTCACAAATTATGTCTACATTTCCACAAAATAGGTACCTCTCAGAAAAACCTAGACAGACCCCTAAAATGGACATAAATGGTGTTAACAGACGTTCAAAATTATTAAAGATTTAAAATCGATAAAAATAAAAATATATAAGTTTGATAAAAATCCAATATACTTAAACAGGGCCAAAGAGAGGGAGGAAAATTACATAGGGTCCTTTGACTTGGGAGGCCACTGGCATAGTTAACAAAACAAAGGCCTTGTCCAGGATTCGAACTTATGACTTTTTTGATGTGAGGTCAGCTCCCTGACCACTAGAGTTGGCAAAAAAAGAAAATAAAAAGAAGAATGACCCTCCCGAGCTAGAGATATGAATATGCTTAAATGTTCTTGAGATGGCTGATTTGAGTGTTAGAATAAAAAATTTCCCATTCAAATGTGATAAAACAAAAATTAAGTTTTTCTCTGTTTTCAAATATAAAATTAATTTTTTTATGCTTAATAATGGAAATTTACCAATTGTTTTTAAAATTTATATTCCTTTTATATATCTCAAATACTTTCAATTACAATTTAATTTATTCAATTTTTTTAAGTCCGATCTTTTTACAATTGCAAAAAAATTTGCAAAAATTTTGTTTAGATTATCTCATTTGCTTTTAAAAAAAGAAATATATATTTCTTATCATATAATTACAATTACAAAGCATTGACACAAAAGATCGTTAAATTATAAAAAATACTAATTTGATTTAAATTACATTTTCGAAATGAAATTATTTTGTTATCTTATGAGTTAAAAAGTCTGAATGAAACATATACAAAACAAGTATTAATAAAACTACTTACGGAGAAAAATCATTGCATGGTTTGAACTTAATAAATAATAATTGACTCATACTTTATGTTTTTCACTCAAGACTCACAATGAAAAAAAAAATGAAGAAACACTCATCAATCAGTTAACAGATTACACATTTTTTTTTTTTTTTTTTNGCAATCTGTTAATTAGAGTAACAATGATTAACAAACTGTAGCAAAATAAATTACTAAAAAAATTTATCAGGCTGCGTAGCCAAATCTTTCAACAAAAAATAAACACCTTTTAAATACCTTTTAAGCACTCAAAAAATCTTTTTAAGCACTATATACATTAACAAAATGCAAAATAATTTTCAAAGACTTCACATGGTCATGATAAAATAACCAGTTTCTAACAAAGAACTCTTTTCTTGATTCCATTAGACACTATAAGAAGATCGAGAGATTTTTCGGTTCGATATCAGAGGGTAGAAAATGAAGCTCGAAATGAATATCTTGCAAAATGCAGCAGAGTTGCACACATGAATGCAATAATCTAACAATGAATAACAAACATGTAACAATGATTAACAAACTGTAGCAAAAGAAATAATTAAAAACCTCTATCAAGTGCATAGCCAAATCTTTCAACAAAAAATAAACACCTTTAAAGTACTTTTTAAGTTCTCAAAAAATATTTTTAAGCACTTAATAGATCAGCAAAATGCAAAATAATTTTCAAAGACTTTACATGATCATGATAAAATAACCAGTTTCTGACAGAGAACTCTTTTCTTGATTCCATTAGACGCTATGAGAAGATCGAAAGATTTTTCGGTTTGATATCAGAGGGTGGAAAATGGAGCTTTAAATTAAGAATATCTTTCAAAATGCAGCAGAGTTGCACATGCGAGTGCAATAATCACACCAAACCCAGCTCAGTAGGAGCACCTGCGGAATCTAAAGTATTTCATCAAACATGCAAAATGATTTACACTTTTAAACGCTACGGACCGAATGTAAGCCAAAATGGATCATGGTCAAATGAATTTTTAAAACGCTGAATAGAATAATGTGAAAAGCACACTTTTGCATAATACTGGCCGACTCTGAGGGAATACTCATTATACTCACCTATGACAACAGTTCCTAATGTCATAACTGTTGTGTTTTCCTGCAATTACAATGTTTTATAGGTCTGTTATGTGCTTCAGAAACAAAAATCTAGATATTTCCCAAAACACAACATTTCAATCTGAAACAAAAGAAATAAAGTTATTAAACATAATTGATATTAATAGATGAATCACATTTTCTGTCAAGACAAGTTGCTTAAATTTTCAGTTACAAGAAACCACAATTTACTTAAAAAGAAAGATATTTTTCAAAAATCTAAGCAAGAAACCGTGCAGTACTAAAATGACCTTTTTTAAAATGTTGGTCGCAAAGTTGTTTTGATATTTTGTTTTGATATCAAATTGTTTTGGTCGCTAAATTGTTTTTATCAGAAATAAATTGAGATTTTATCAGAAATAATTGATTAATTGAATGACAATCTTGTACTTTATATTTTAAAATATATTGCATTGTTGAGTAAATAAAAACCATGAAAATTAAATAAAGGTATCTAAAGTAAAGGTACTCCAGTTAAAATTTAAACACACTAGCTAGTCAAAAAGTGGTCAAAATATTCAATAATGATAAATTGTAGGGAGAAATTTTACTTGAGATGCTCAGGAGAAGATAAAAGTTATATTTTTCCCAGACACAGAACTGCAGTTGAAATAAGGGCACCTAAGTGATCGAAAATTTGAATTAATGAAAAATTCTATTTAGTGATAAAAATCTTCCTGTAGTTATGATATAATAGAAACCTTCATTGTTACCAGGCTGCATAAAGAAATCTAGGTTATCTGGTTAGTTGGAAAGTGGTATAAAATTTCCCCTTCTCAGATCCAAAAGTGAATTAATAAAAACTGTATAAAAAAAATTCATTTTTAATAAATTTGTCAATTAAGTTACGAAATTAGTTTTTTTTCTTTTCATTAATAAAAATATTTTAATTTGCATTTTTGTCTGCTAAAGTGATTCACATTAATTTCAGAATTGATTGCTTTAAAAAGAGAATTTTTTAAATTTATATAAATACGTCATAAATATGTCAATAATATGATAAATGAAGATGTTGCTTCAAAAATCATTCTGACCTAATTTAATTCTGGTCATTAAAATATATTTTAGAATAGTTGTAAAAAATATGAGTCACTGTAATCTAAATAAAATTAAGACACCGTAATAATCAAAGTATGAAAATTTTAAAATATAGACAGTAATACTTTATTGTATTAAAAAAACTGAGCTAAAATAAATCAGTAATAACAAAAAACTTTCAACAAAAATATATTCTTCTGTGTCCCTAGGATACAATCGCTTAGGATCTAAGATTTTCACCTCTATTTTTTGAAGAAAAAAAATCTCAAATTTAATTTGTAATTTTTTTTCTGTCCTTCAAATTTTGTATACTATCATTTAATTTTCATGTTTTATGCAAAAACATTTGCGACGATTAGAAAAATGTTTTATTTACTGGCCATATAAGCATGTAAATAAATATAAGCCATATAAGGATTAATTAAATAAGCATATAAAAAATTTTTTAATAAATCTTATTTTCTAATTTTGATTTATAAAGTATATCTAATTTTAATACATAATATAATTATAATTTGCAAGATATATTTATATAATAAATTATTATTATATTTATTACATAAAAATATATTGATTTATAAAGTTTGACTATTGCCTACTTTTCTATTTCATGGTTATAATAAATCAATATGATTTTCAAATTTATTAATGCTGCATAATTTTAAAAAATTTTAATCATTAAAAAAATGTTTAGAACATCACCAGCGTGAGATCTCATAGATGCCCACTTTCCCCACCCTTGATGGCTCTGAATAATAATAGCCAATTTCTAGATTAATTGCATATTTAAAATAGAAAACTATTCGTTTCTAAGTAGAATAAATCCTTTAATAAACGCTATGATGTCTGTATAACTGTGGTAAAATAATTTCCAATATAAGACCTTTTTTTTAACCGGTCAATTCTCTTTTAAAACAAGAAATGTGGGTTCTATGTGAACAACGACTGAGCGCAAAAAGGGACTGCTGGAGATGGTGTGAGAAATAGGCGCTGCTGTAAATTGGCAAAATTTGATTGAAGCTAAGAGGGAAAAATGATGTTTGATTCAGAAAGGTGCGTCCGGAAGAGGCTATGAGTTACACCCCTAAAGTTAGCCCCCTACAATGGGATATTTCCGTTTCGTAATCCGTCTCGAAAACTACAATCTCCAAGGTGCCAAATAGATTTTAAACTTGCAAATTTTTTAAAAAAATATTATGTAGATGTTTGCTTGGGGGTAGCTACGAGTTATAACTTTCCTGTTGGTCCCTTTCAGAGATGTATTTTTCAGTCAATAGCTAAGAGTGATATTAGAACTTATAGAGTGAAGGCAACTTATAAAATAGAAGTTGCCAAGAGTTGGCGATTATTCTGCCACAGATCACGATATGGAAATATTCCAGGAATGAGAACTGCATGTTACATTATCCCTTCCGATTATACAAGCATTTTTTTTACATAATAGTTCATTACATGCCTGGAAAAATTTTCCTTCTTCGTATGATTTAAATATTTATAAATTATTCCTTGAAATAAAAGTATTCCAGTGCATTTTTAGTGAAAGAATTCAGATTAGAAACAAAATATTGAGTAAATCGGGGAGATTTCCGTATCGTGATCTACCATAGTAGCTCAAATGCAATGAACAAAAATATCAAATGCATGACCTAGTAAAAAAAGTAAAATTTTGCGTAAAAAGAAATAATTATTTTCGTAAACCAATATATTTTGAGTCTTTAAAGCACATAATGTAAATACACAACCACAAAATCATTAAAGCTTATATAAGAAGCAGGCGAGGAAATAGATACACATTAAAAAAAATAATAAGCTTTTTTTTTCAGTCTTTCAATTCTAAAAATAAAATTAATTCAAGAATTTTTATTTACTTCTCTCTGGCCTAGGAGAGTAATGCACCATCGACCACCATTTTAGCACTGATGAACGTAGCTTTTGACTTTCTAATACCAAAGCCTTGAAAATAATACCATAAAGTTTTATGAAATTTTTTAAAATATACCTGAAAATATATAAACCTGCTATAAAAATATTTTAAGCTAACTTATTTATCTTTCAAATAAAAATAAAAAATTGTAAAAAATCATGTTTTGGAAGTGTGTAATGAAATGATCAGTTCAAACGTTTGAGCCAGTTTAAGTTTTTGCGAGTTTGAAATTGATTATTTTTCGCTATTTCTAAAACGACGACTGAAAAAACTTGTTGTTAACGCTCAAAGTGTTCTACGTTTCGTTCGAAAAAGCTCAGCTTATCATAGTTGGTTTTGGTTTTATTACATACATTTACTATTACTTTCTTTGCTTACATTTAGACGTAGAAGTGATTAATATCTCTAGTAAAATGTTATTCTTTTATTTCCTTGGATGACATTTTACTATTAACTCTAGCCTAAAATTAAAACGTTTTTATTAAAAATATTTATGCCAAGGTCCAATTTAAAGGGAGGCTGTATGCATCTAATTTAAGCCAACCAGTGTCTAGTCTGGCGTTTGTTTTTAATCTAGTTCTATTTTTACAATTATCAAGAAATTAAAGTTTTATATATGTTGTGTCATTTAGAATTCAAATGGCTGGTGAGAGTGATGATATTTTAAGTATTATATAATTTATTCATGTCCTTTCATATTATTTAATTTTTGTTTTTATCTTTTTCAGATGTATTGGATACCGAAAATAATAAAGAAGAATCTATCAGCGGAACTGATACGAGTGATAAAGATAATTATTTGAGTAAGTTTCCTCATTATTAGTTATTTTTAATCATTACAAATATCTTATTCGCCAATGGCGTATAAGCTGACTTTAAGGTGCGTACGAGCCTTAATAAATGTATTAGAATAAGACCTATGATACATTTAAACTTCTATGATCAGTTTTCTGATTTACTATGGCTTAAAATAGGAAGATTTCCGGAAGCAACTTAAAAAAAAGAAAAAATTGCTGAAGCAGACCAACTGAAAGGGTATAACTTATTTTTGCAATGCCACTCATTTCATAAAACTTAATTGTTGCACTTCATGGATGTTGTCTTCTATAGAAGTTTTAGATTTTTTTATGAAATAATATTGTAATAAACATGAACTAAATGCTCAAACTTAAAATTACTTCTTAAAGCCATCTCTGGGCAAACATGTTTTTAAAAAAAAAATGTACAAATTTAAAATATATTTGGTAACTTGGCAATTGTAGTTGGTGCAATAGATCAAGGGAGATTTCTGTATCATGATCTGTGGCTGAATAAACGCCAAGTCTTGGCAGCTATCCAAAAGAAGCTAAAAATTTTTAAAAAAAGTAGAAAAAAAACATCGCAAAAAGGGACTAGAAAGGAACTTTAAGCCACCCCCAGGCAAACATTAACATGTTTTTATTAATCTTTTTTTAAAATTTTGCATGTTTGAAATCTGTTTGGCACCTTGGCAATTGTAGTTGGCATAACAGATCACAATGTGGAAGTATCCCCTTTATTTCTTTTTAAAAATGGATATACAGTGCAGAACTTCTTATCCGGAAATCAGATAACCGGAATGAAATTTGGAACCAAAAAAATAATTTTCTTCCATTAAAAAAATTTTTTTTCCTGCAAGATTTTGAGCCCATTTTGTTATTTAGAGCGTACGGCGTATCGAGTTGACGAAAGAACTGATTTAGAGGACGGATCAAAAGCCGTTTGTAGACGAATATTAATAAACATATAGAAGCCTGTATATAATTTTTGTTTCATAATTTCTTTCCTTATTTAAACTTAAGTGAATTATTATTTATCATTTTTTATTTCTAAAACTATTTCAAAATAATTTTTTAGTTTCGTTTTATAAACATTAAAAAAAACGGCATTTTGTAGCGATTCAGAAAACCGGAAAAATCAGTTATCCGGAATCGCAATGGTCCCGATCGTTCCGGATAATCGGTTCCCTACTGTATTTGTGTATTTGATTCTTGTCTCACCAATTCCAGAAAATTAAAGGAAAATTATTTGCATTTTATAAATCTGTGCAATAATAATGTATGTAATTTGCCTTCTAACTCTGACGTGTGTAATCATTATTTTTAAAGATTACCTGATTTTTATTTTAACTTTTTTAATGTTAAATATTAATTAGTTCTTAAGCATCAAAGATTAGATATTGTATATCAATAGATTATATTCAAAGCATTACACGCATAGACAATGTATATATAAATTTATATAATTAATAGAAATATCATAGTTTTCCCTAGAAATAAAAAAGAACAGGATGTTTCATAAAAAAAAATGGTACTTTGAGTATTAAAAAAGCACTCGCTTACCACCGTTAAAATTTATCAAAATATGTAACATTGTGTAATAACTGAATTTGATCCTCAAGTTTTAAATTACCCTCTTGTACTATTTTATGTGTATTTACAAAATTATTCTCACTCATTATCACAGAGATGGAAAAATGATTAAAGGCAAGCTAAGACAATATAAGTGTAAAAACTTTCTTTGAAAAAAAGTAAACTAAAAAAAAAAAAAAAAGATTCGTTGGTAAACAACTTTGAACCTCTTTTTATATTTCAAACTGAAAATTAAGAGGAAATAAAACATTTAAAAGTGCATTTAAAGAAAAATAAAAGTAAAGTTTAAAATCCCGAAAAATTCATTAATATACCCTCCCCCCAAATAAAAGATGTAAATATCACTGGGTCAAAAATATTCTGCAAATTTTTATCATATAACTAAACGTAAAAATTTTATTAAATGAAGGAATGAAATTAAAGTTAAATAATTATCAGTAACTAAATAAATCAGAAGTTAACTTTTCATTAACACTAGTGGTTAAGAAAACAACCTTTTCCAACAAAAAAAATGGTTTGTTTTAAAATTAAAGGCTTATTTTTTTTAAAAAAAGGGCAAGGAGTGTGCATTTATAGGGATCAATGTGTATGCCACCCTTCTAAGAATGCTTAGGGAGGATACTATTAATAACTTTCAGTTGAAAATATGCTGATTATCGCCTTAATATAAGGAACTTTAGTCACATGGAGAAAAAGGTGAATATTAGAAATAAATATAATAAGATTCCTAACACAAATAATGGACACACGTAAATTACTAGCTTATTTTTATCATTTTTTTTTTATGTCTTATATGAGTGAATATTATAAAACATTATGGTCCTTTGATATGAAAATCTTTACCTCAGCAAGTTTTTTTTTTCTTTAGTGATTTAAACTTTTTTAATTATTATTATTAAAAAGAGAGTGTTTGTGATTTTAATCAGTGACTCTTAACATGCTGTTTTGATTTACTATAAAGTTTAAAATTATAGTAAATTCTTACTTATGGGCTGGGAGCAACAGAAGAAAGTGTTTAAATAAAAAGCCTATTCTAATTTGCAATAAAAGCATGATTAAAAGTGATTTTTTTTTCTCTTTAAGATAAATTGTTAATGATTTTAATGGTTTGGTATTTACTGTAACTATACTAAGAAAAAAAGTTGTAAATTATTTTATTACAATATATTTTCTTAAAAGATAATTCATAATAGATGTTTCGTTCTTGTCAATGAATTTCAAAAGCAGTTTTTTTAGTTCTTATTAATTAGAAAAGGGAGTTTCAGTAGCTGAATTAAACTGCAAAAAGTCAATAATAGTGTCTTACGCTTTTTTGTATAATTTGGAAGAAGTTTTTCTTCATCTTTATCCATGGTGCGTAGCGTTTCTAAAAAGTGCTTAAAGGTGCTTATTTTCGATTTTTGTTTTTTAAAAGCCCTTAAAGCTGCTTATTTTCCCTTTTCGAAAATGAGATTGTTTTTCTTTACCATGTCGATTTCCGCCACTTATTATGTTAAAGCATTTTTTTCACATTGTTCTATTCAACGTTTTCACAATTCATTTAATCACAATCTATATTGGGGTCCCGTCGGTCCATAGCGTATGAAAGCGCTAATTAATTTACATGTCAGATAAAATGCTTGGGACTCCGCGCGTGAGCTGGGTTCGGTGAGATTCTTGCACTCTCATGTGCAACTCTGCTGCATTTTACAAGATATTCTCAATTTCAGACTTCATTTTCCACCCTCTGANCACCGTCTGATATTGAACCGAAAAATATCTCTATTTCTTTTATAATGGCTAATATAATCAAGGAAAGAGTTCTTTGTCAAAAAATGGTTATTTTATCATGATCCTGTAAAGTCTTGGGAAACAATTTTGCATTTTGTTAATGTATATAGTGCTTAAAAATATTTTTTGAATGCTTAAAAAGTGCTTATTTTTTGTTGAAAGATTTGGCTACCCTCTCTGTTATCGTTATCAGCTATTTCATTAGCAATGTGTTCAACATCTCTTTATTCTGCTTTCATCAAACTATCATCAACAATTCAGTAAAAGAAACAAGCCAACATTTGTCATCACTAAGATCGACATAACTTTGTTCATTTGATACTTTTTCATTTGAAGAAATGCAGATTTTTGGAAGCAATTCCTTGTGCTAAAATCTCCACTACTTCTCTGTGCAGCACATGCCATGTTCATTGCAACTTTACATTGGTTGCCACTTTCTAGTTCGGCAAGATATCAAAGTTCTCATATAGTGCACTTTAAGCAACGGATTGTACCTAAATAAAGGCTGTTGCTTACTTGTACAGTGTGCGGGAAGGAAAGAATTTAATTTTATCTGGGCAAAACATAGCATATCTCCCGAATGAGTTGGATATTGATTAAATCGGAAAATTTACTTTTTTGCATTTACTTTTCAAATACATGAGAGAAGGGTAAGAAAGTTTTCGAAGTCATCCACGCTGCTCAATTGTTGAAGTACTCTTGTGGAAGGCGTTGTATGTTTTTTAAAACAGCAATGGTTTTTCGACTTGCCGATGATGAAGTCGCATCTGCTTTACAACAAAGTAAAGCAATTTATCTTTCTTTACTGTTTTTTCCACCATGGCAGGGTTTCCTCTTAAATACCAATATTTTTTTTGTGTGCTTTATCTTGAGAAACAAACTGGTTTTATCATAATTAAAGATGTTTAGAGATAATTAGAGATGTTTCGCTCTCTATTTCTCGCTCCTGTGATATTTTCGGGCTGGAGTGTTCAGTAGTAACGCACCAGTAAGAATAAAACTAATTCAATTCTTTTGCTCAGAAAGCATTTTATTTCTCATTTTACACACCAGATGGCAGTACCAGGATATTTTTAAGGTAATTATAGATGGTTAGTTTATTTTAAACTAGGTGTCATCACTAATCAATTTCCAGGGATAAAAAAAATACTCTTTTATGACCGTTTTCTTGAAAATTAACCAATCGTTAAGGGGTTAAGTCCTTTTTCCATTGCTCTACCGTTTTTTTTTTTTTTTTCTCACTTCCACCTTCTTCAGTGCACCTTCGCCAAAAGTATCTCAAAAGGGGGGGGGTCTCTTCCTCTCTCTGCATGTAAAAATATTAGTATTAATAGATCCGAATGATCTGTACTCTCACAAAAATGGCAATCAAGAATTTGAATTTGTAATTTTAACTTCAAGCTTGCAAGTTGCTACAAAATTAATAAACAAAATTGTTTACCAATAAATTATTTATTTCTCATTTAAGGGCATTATTTTCTTTTCCATTTCACTATTTTTTCAATTCCTACCATTAGTTCACGCTCTCCCTATGTCTCATTCAAATTTTCAATCGTTAATATGTTTTATTCGTCCATTCAAGCTCAAATACATTTTTTTAAACCTGTACAGTACAGAACCCGTTATCCGGAAATCAGAAAACCGGAAAACCAAAGAACCGGAACGAAATTCGATAAATTTTCCCGCCATTTTTTAAACAAAATTTTTTTTTCCTTATAAGATTTTAGGATTTTTCTTTCTGTTTTGAAACATGTTCACCTTACCATCATTTTGGAAATAATCATTAGTGTATTATTTCATCGTTTTTTCTTCTTTTTAAGATTATTTCCCAAAAAAAAATTTTTTTTTAGTTGGGTTTAACAATAAAAAAATGGCTTTTTGTAGCGATTCAGAAAACCGGAAAAATCAGTTATCCGGAATAGGGATGGTCCCGATCGTTCCGGATAATCGGTTCCCTACTGTATTGTATTAACACTTGATGTTAATACAGTTTTTCAAAATATTAATTCTTTCATTAAATTTAATTCATTCTAGTTTTGTATTAGAGAAAAAAATTTGATTGTCTAATAAAGAGTAACTAAAATAAAATTTGCCTTTTTTAAAATAAAAAAAAATTATATTGTTTAGAATTCAGGCACATATCTCAATTAGCAATATGTTATAGGCTCCTGAACAGGAATAATCGGTATAAACAATTTATTTTTAGCTACAAAGGAAATAAGCCTAATGAAGGGAATGGAAGGATTTTGGAAAGAGGCTGAGAATACCAATGAAAGGGAGGAAGAAGGTGATGATGATTTTAAGACAGATGATGATGATTCTAAGAATTATGATGTGGATCAGGAAGATATCAACTCTTACTGTAATAATCAAGCTCTTCTTACCCTGGAAGAATTAGCTAATAGTTATTATCTGCATAACAGGTGAGTCTTTATCTATTCAAAAAACTTGTGTTAGTCCATCACTTAACATGGTGCATAGCATTTTTAAAATGTGCTTTTTTTCATGGGGTGTTTTTAAAAAGTGCTTGATTTTCCTTTATTGAATATGGGAATTTTTTTTTCTCTTTTCTTTTTACCATGTCAATTTTCAGTACATATTGTGCAAAAGCGTGCCTTTCACGTTGTTCTATTCAACGTTTTCATATTTCATTAACCAATCACAATCCATTTCAGCCTACCGTCGGACCAAAGCGTATAAAAGCGGCAATCATTTTACGTGTTTGATGAAATACTTGCGAGTCAGTGTGTGCGTATACTGAGCTGAGTTCGGTGAGATTCTAGCGCTCTCGTGTGTAACTCTGCTACATTTTGCAAGATATTCTCAATGTCTGGCTTCATTTTCCACCCTCATTTTTAGAACCAGAAAATCTCTGGCTAATATAATCAAGAAAAGAGTTCGTTCTCTGAAACTAGTTATTTTATCATGATATGTAAAGTCTTTGAAAATTATTTTGCATTTTGTTAATGTATATAGTGCTTCAAAATATTTTTTGAGGGCTTAAAAGATACTTATTTTTTGGTGAAAGATTTGACTACACACCTTGCTTGCAGTGCTGCATTTTGTTGTTGCGTTTTAAGTTATGGTTATTTATTTTTTATCTTTCGGCAACAAATCGGTGTTTTACCTTAAGAGTACTAGACTTTTATTTTCTGTTTTTTTTCTATCATTTAATTAAAAAAGATTTATGAATCGATATTTAGATTTGTGTAGCAAAAGTCACTCTAGACGACAATAATGGATTAAGGGAACAGAAAATCTATACATATTGAAGCCATAGATATTTTCCAAATTATTTTTTGTTGTTAGTGAAACTTAAGTAAAGGTGCTCTTTGATAAAGGACAAAATGAAAGATCTCCACTGTTTGAGCTAATATAATATAATGGCTAGTAAAAAATTGTCTGCCAAACGGCACCTTTTTTCTCAAATGCACTCCTTGTAGATTTTTTTTGTTATTATTTTTTAAAATAAGTATGGAATTCTGAATATTTTAAAATATTCTGTAAATTACTTTATTTTATGCTCGTTTCTAAAAAATTCCCCGCTTCGGACGAACTGCACTTCATGGCACGACTCATTTAAACACTTTTAAAAGATATTAAACTATTTTTTAGTAAACAATAATCATTATTTTGAATATAAATTAATAGGGAGTTAGAAATTATGAGTGAGTCTGACCATTAAAATTATTTCCCATTTTTCGTATTGAGTCACACAATCTCTATATTTCTGAATTTACTTTTTTTTTTCTTTCACAAACAGTTGATTGTTTTTTTAAATCTTTCAATTTGTCACAATTTACAACACAATATTCCTTCATATAAAACTATTATATTTGACTAACTATTACGATTTTTATATTTGCTATTAATGTTTTATAGCAATTATTTTTATGATTATATATTTAACTAGCGGAAAGTTCTTTGTTTCGAGGGAAACTGACGAGTTTTAAAGGGGGGAAAGGAGTAAACAATGGTAAGCTTAAGCAAAAAGTGCAAATCTTTTAGTAAAATTAACAATTATTTCATTTAACTAGAATTTTTGAAGCAAAAGGAGAGAGTTATCCTGTTAACTTTTTATTTTCTTTCATTGTTTCTATTCTATTCAAGATATTTCATCTTGTCAAGGAATTTTGAAATAGACTCATTGAAATCTTTACACAATGCAATTATTATTCAATTCCTGCTATTAGTTCGCACTCTCCCAATATATCTTTTTCAATCGTTCATCAAAATACTTTTTTATTTATTCATTCAAGTTCAAATACATTTTTTTAAACTTGCAGTGGATAATTAATACAGTTTTTTTCAGCCAGATATTTCACATTCTTTTAATTCGCCCAAAAACATGCGCTGGAGGGTAAGTCTGGGTCTTCCTCTTGTTCTCTTACCATCAGGGGCCCATGTAAGCGCAACAGATTAAATTTTTTCTTTGGGCATTCTAAGGATATGTTCGAGCCAGCTCCATCTTCGTTTTTTTATTTCATCTTCCATTGTTTTTATTATAGCTTTCTTTAATAGATTTTGACTTGATTCTTTGTAAGGCCAGAAAATTTTAAAAATAAATCTTAAACATTTGTTTTGAAAGGTTTCTAATTTTTGTATTTCGATCTTAGTCTGTTTCCAGGTTTCTGCGCCATATAATAGTACTGCTCTAACAATAGCTTTGTAAACAACTATTTTTGTCTTTATTTCAATATTTGACTCTCCAAAATCTATGTAATCCCTTAAAACATGTTCTTGCTTTGATTATTCTCTGTCTAATATCTTCACTACTTCCACCTTTTTTATCTACAATAGAACCTAAATAGCTAAATGACTAACTAGAACAAAAAATTAGTTTATGGGGCACATTTGCATATTTAATTATTTTATATCCGCTGTGTCAGATAAATTCAATAAAGAACATTACGTGGTAGCATGTGTGTTTCACGCCACCTAATTTATACTTTTATAATTGTCTGATACCATACGCCTTTTTTTTCTTCTTTTTTTTTCCAATACCTTCTTTTCCAGTTCTCACTCTCCCTATATATATATTAACCTCTTGTTCAAATTTTCAATTGTTTATAAAATACTTTTTATTCATCCACTCACATTTAAATACATTTATTTAAACTTGTAGTGGATGATGATGTTAATACAGTTTTTTCAAATATTAATTTATTAGTTAAATTTAATTCACTAATTTTAGTTTTATATGGGAGGAAAAAGAATTTAATTATTTAATAAAAAGTAACTAAAATAAGAATTTTCTTTTTTGACCAAAGTAGGAATTGTTTAAAAAAATTATATTGAAAAAAAATATATTTTTTTTTTTTTTACTTCTTTTAGTTATGTTTTGTTATTTAGTTAGTTTAGTTATGCTATTGAAAAGGGAACATTTATTTAGTTGTTATAGTTTGCAATAGTTTTTTTTAATTAATATTATTTTAACAAGCACATTGAAACTAAATTATAATATCAAGTTAATCTAAAAGAAGGAAAAAATAAATAGTTAATAACAGTGGTGTACGCAGAATTTTTTCAAGGGGGGTGTTCATAATTTTCTGAAACTACTAAAAGAAATTTGAGTATGTAATAAAGCTCTATTATTTCCCCTTCTTCAGCTAGACAATTTTGACTTTTTATTTAGACAGCATTATTTAGTTAAATTTTGATTTGATTTTTTAAGTTTAAGAACATAATGAAATATCTTCTGAAAAATGTCCAATGTCATATGGGTGGGAAGTAACACTTTGAGGGCCACTTTCACATTCATCAGATTTTGTTACGCTAGAAACGTTTTCTTCAACGGAATTATGGCATTTCTGTTCAACAGAAAAACTTGCATTGGTTCTAGATGCTGTCACCTAACTAATTTCAGTTCGTGATTTTTTATCAAAATAATTCGAAGTAGCTACATTCTTGCGAACCAGCCCGTAACAGTATCACGTGAATTTGGTTTTAAAAGTACCACCAAGTTTTAAAAGTACCATATCAAATGTATAGTAAATGTTTTTTCAGTATTCTGAGAAATACCGTTAAAAATAAAAGTAGGCATAAGGCTAATGAAAATATATAGTCTTAAAAAATAATAGCCCTCATAACTTCTACAAAAATTTTTATTTTTGCCATTTTGTCTGAGCTCAAGGGGGCAGTTTAAACCCCTAAACCCCTCCCTTGCGTTCGTCCCTGGTTAATAAATGCGTAAATTTTAATACCTTAAAATAGTAAAGGATTCTCAGTAATGTATCTTTAAATTTAAAAATTTATATTTCTTTGTTTTTCTATTATTACAATTTTGAATGTCCTATTTAAAACAATTCACAACGTTAGAGCTTTCCTTTCAGCGAATCTTTTGCGAGCATAGAGAGGTTTATATTCCAAGTATTATTAGTATATCAGGGCTCGAAAAAACTCAGAAATTTTACCCGTCCCCGAGGACGGCTTGCCCAACAATGCACCCATCCTCCGTTGAAACTAACCCGTCTCTTTTCAATAAATAAAAATATAATTTTCTCCTATTTATTACAAACATATAAATTGCACAATGAATGAGTCGTTGCTAGGATTACATTATACAGTAATAAAAGAAATACTAGGTTACTAATTGTAACCTAGTATTTCTTTTATGAAAGAATTTAAATGACAAAGGTCAAGTTATCCGAGGGTACTGCTTTTTTTAAATGAATCAAATATGACGTTTGCCAGTTCCACAATCAAGCCTATGATTTACAGAGGTTTCTGAACAGAAATCTGAAAGGGGTTTTCCATTTAGGTAGATGTTCATAATTGCTTTTAAAGCTTCTTGTTTAAGACCAGTATGTATTGTGTTTTTTTGTAAGTTTGCTGCAAAGCACCTTTCAACCGCTGCAGTACTCCCAGAAAGAGAAAACATCAATATATGCGCAGTATGTTGCTGTATTGTGGGTCATTTTGCAGCCTTGTAACTTACAAGACTCTTGTAAGATAACAAAAATTGAAAAATGTATCACGAACATTAACGGGAAAATGGCCGTCCGCGCGGCCGTCGGATTCGAGAAATTCGTTGTCCGCGGAGAATTTTTGACCGTCGAGGACGGGCTGTTTTTCGAGCCCTGTAGTGTATAATAGTATTCATGGTTTTATAACCATATTGGTTGTGAACGGTTTCAAAACCGCAAAGGAGAAAGATATTCCTTACCATAAACTTTTTGGTTAATCGGATGGACGGACAACTGTTATTTTACCATTATTTTGGAATGAAAATTCTAACAGTGTAGGGTAATGTTATGTTAAATATGTATCATTCCTCCTCCTCTTCTTCAGTGGTACAACAGCCCAGCACATGCTTTCTTCAGAATTAGTACCAGGTGAAATATGTATCATTAAGCTTGTTTACTAAAACATGATAAAATTTCAAAACATAAAGGCTATACTAGCGTTTTTTTTTTTCAAATTA